GCTAAATGATTTATAAAAAATTGGCATTAGCAAGCTATCTATCGATGCTAGAGACATAATCTCACCACCATTCGACTCGTCTCATCGAGACGAATCCAATGAGTCCTAATTCATATTTGTACGGCCATTGGACGACAAATAAATTCATGTATCGGAATTTTTAATTTTTAATGCTCGAAAATTTTAAAAAAATGCGAAACTTGATATTATTCGCCATCCAGTGGTCATACACGAACGAATTCATATTCATTGGATTCGTTTCACTGAGACGCGTCGAATGATGCTAAGATCATGTCTCTAGCTCCGATAGATAGCTTGCTAATTCCAATTATTTATAAATTATTTAGCGTGGGTTAACGTGTGATCTTTCAATGCTAGAGACATGATCTTACCGCCATTCGACACGTCTCGTCGAGACGAATCCAATGATATATGGCTCGACTTTGTACGATCACTAGATGGCCAGCTATTCGATTTTTTGCATTTTTATAAAAATCAGATTAAACTGAACCGAACCGCCGGGTTTTCAGTTCTAATGCCCGAACCTAACCGAACCGAATTTTGAGCCGGTTTCGGATTGGTTCCCCAGTTTAGCCCGAACCGTTCAGAGCTTTAACTTTGTTTACAGATCACGAATTAAGGGGTAGTCATAATTTTTAGTTTTGGCGAATTGTATGAATTTTCTTATAGTCATATTATATGTTTTATGGATTTTCTCATAGTCATATTATTTGTTTTGGCAAATTTATCCTGTTTTGGTATTTTTTTTCACCCTTTTTCACGATTAAAAGTATATATTTGAAACTAAATATGCGTTTTTTTACAAAAACTAAAACTTTACTTTTATAATGTTGAAGTGAAAGCATACTCGAACTCGCTTAAGTGATAATAAATTTTGTGCAACTATTATTAATAAATGTAAAGTATTTTGCAAATGTAAACAAAAAGTTATTTTTAATAACGACTATGATGAGAAAAGGCTTAACTAACATTCTAGAAACTCAAGATGTAAAATAAATAACTAAAAATGACAACTTGGTTTACCTGGTTTGTTTCCTGTCTTACCTAATCCTAAAAAAGTAAGAGAAGACTTAGAAGACTCATCACCACTACCACCGCCACCATCACTAAGGTTGCTTGCTGAAACCTAAGGATTTAGGCAAGATGGCATTTCGCCGAAAAGCGAAATTCTGCCGAAACTATATTAAAGTTATATTAAAAAACTGGCGAAACTTTGGAGAAAGGCGAAACTGCCGAAACTTATTATAAATGCTGAAACTGCCGAAACTCTGCCGAAACTATAATAAATCTATAGTAAAATTTTGATGAAACTAATCGTAGGATTTTGAAGAGGTTTAGACAAGCAACCTTAACCATCACTGCTATTATTTCCAAATAAACCATGTTCTAAACTCCATTCTGAACAAATTGTTACTTATATTAATCGAGCACTAGCTACATATAGAGGTGTATGACGATGAGAAGTAATTGGAAAAACAATGTTTCCAAATAAGTTTCCAAATAAACTACCATTTAATTCTAAAAAGTTCAATAAGGAGAAAATAATCGATTTTAATTAGTAAATGATCGTTGAATCAGAATGGTTTATTGATCATCTTGGTAAGAAAAATTAGTTAACTGTATGATGATTATTTATCAATTTATTAATACTGACGTTTAATTTAGGAATGTGCGTTCAATCAGTCAACTATGAGAAAAAACTTATAAGCAACCTTGTTCACCATGTTCCCATATTCATTTTAATTCAACTTTTTTGAATCATTTGCATTGTGTAATTTCCAATCCAAAAAATACTAAATTTATACCAAAATTTTATTATGAAAATAATCCGTTATTAATATATCTAAAAAATGGTCATATTAAACAATTAAATGAATTTCTTAATACTAAGGATTCATTTGTAGGATTTTGGATGGAACTTGCTAATAAAGCTGTTCAAGGTGCATTTGACCAAAAACCAGTATTTAAAGGACTTTACTATATTATGTTACAAGCTGCAGAACATAAAGAACAAGAAAAAGGTTTACGAAATCTCAAATATCTAACTGAATTTTAAAATTTTCTTATAGTATTAGGAAGTATTAGTTTAAAAGCATTGGATTTGTTCTATCAGAATTTAGCTGGTATAACAATTCGTACAATAAGATAATGATAGTACAATTAAAAATTATCTAATTAGCATGATTATATTTATAATTAAGCATAATTTTTTATATGTACTATATAGGTATCATAGAAGTATTTCTGAAGACGCTATTAACAATCTCAACCTTTGTTATAAGAATGTTGCTCAATTTAAAAGGCTCTTAGATTTATTACACTATAAAGGTCCTGTTGTAGCCATGACAGATTGTACAATTTTAAAGTCTGGGTTGCAATATTCAACAAATTTAGATTGTATTGTTGGATCAACTTTAGACCGAAATGATTGCAAAATTGAAACCTATAATGATATATCATATGGGCTGATTTGTCTTGTTATTTGACTCAAGGTAAAGGTTCACATTTAAGAACCTATTTATAGCATGGTAGTCCAACATTTACCAACGACTACCATCCAACTGGTGTTAGTAGGCAAATTTTTTATCACTACAACTGCCATTTTAGTTTGACCTCAGGATAGTCCCTATCCATCGACAGAATACTAACTGGCTAGCTATAACCCTCTACTCATCCTTTATCCATTCTAGAGGCAAGACAAGCTCAAATTTATATTATGCCACCCTGGCCTGTTTTAGTAATGGAGGACTTTCAGTGCCAGATGTAATGGCAATCATCTAGAAACCCTTCTGTACTAACATTCACACTTCAGAACTGAACTAAAGCTCACTCAAGGCCACTACAGCCTCACGATTCCTTAGCCCCAAGGTACAGTTGTGAATCTCCAATGGTATAGTAGTGACCACTGAGACAGAGAAAACATGAGATAGTACAGACTCGCTTGTTTGGGATTATTTCCAGTGGTGCCCTACCACCCAAGCTGCCACCCAGTACCCGCCTAGTAGGGAGTTGAATTCCATACCTCACCTAGTACACCTGTCTGTTCAGGAATATCCTAGTTGGCCTAAACCTATTAGAAGGTAAACTATCACAAAGTCATTGCACCCAGGATTTTACCATCTATAATAACCATCTAGCTACATTGGACCCCAAGCGGTATCATTTGAGTGACCACCTGGACAGGAAATTACCCCAAGGTATGCAAGCAGTGACCTCACAGACAGGACTCCAAACATCCCAATGACCTCATAGAGAATGTTAGAAGGACACCATAACCCTTTGTTGAAATGTGCGGCCTAACCGTACACACTAATTCACCATGGTGCAGTCCAACTACCTAATTCCTGTATCTTCACGCTATTGGTGGTAGCGTCCGCAGTAAAATTCTTTTTATTTCCGTGATCATGGGAATCGAACCTGCGACCTCACCATACTCAGGCTTAATGAGGGTCTCAGTAACCAACTACTGAGATAGGGTGATCAACCCTATATATGGGCTGATTTGTCTACTCTGCATTAAAAAGAGTTATTGAATTGATTTGCACAAGTTTCGTTACTCAAAATTGTTTTGTAATACCAAAAAATCATCTGATTGATGATCACTTGACTAAATAATAAGTTGAACAAAAATTTACATAATAAAAATGTTTCATTAATAAAATTTAAAAAAATAAATAAAAGTTTTACTTTCGAAATAGGAGTGCTCCAACTTCCTGATCCTAAAAAAAAGACATAAAACGATTTTGCTAAAATAAAACAAAAATAAAAATAAAAAAATAAAATGATTTCGAAGAAGTAACTTCAAAATTCCATTCAGGAGAGTTTTGGAAAGCCAAATACCTACAAAAGAAAAACTGGAACAATAGTAATGCTTCGCTGAAATAAATCAAAAAAAACAATTGAAGTTACCTTCAAAATGAGTCCAGGATCACACCTTCGGTATTCTGGATTTACAAAAAATAAGAACAAATGTTAGCTAACGTTTGTTAAATAAAATTAATAAATAAAAAAGCTTTTGAAAAAAATACCTTTGAAATGGAGTCTGGCAGCATCCTGACCTATAAAAATAAAAGAAAAATGAACGTTAGTATAACGTCCGTTAAAAAAAAGAAAAAAATCATTTCAAAAATTTTACCTTCAAAATGGAATCTGGCAACGTCTTGGACCTACAAAGATCAAAACAAACATTAGCTAACGTTCGTTAAATTATTTAATTCAGGTTTTTTCTGAACTTTCATCAAAATAATCAGTATCACATGAAAATCTTGTACTGTACAATTGTTACGTACAATTGCAGTTAGTATAGCTGACCGACCTGACCGTACAGTACAATTTATATGTATACTCTAAAGAAATTGTCTAATTTTAATTTGAAATTACATTTTTACATTATTTTTTTTTAAAAAAAAAATTAAAATTGGTATTGTGATTTAAAGATAGCTACAAACCAATCTATTTATTATTCAAATTAAAATTACAAAAAAAAAATAAATATTTTCTAGACAAATTATTATTCTCTTAATCATTATTATTATAATCATTTGCTAGATAAACTTTCATTAAACCATGAATATAATTTATTCTTTCTGATTTCTTCAGATTTACTTAACCATTCTTTCATTAAATTTGAATCTCGACGAAAACAAATATATTTTGACGTTTGTAATGGTTTATGAGAGTCTGCACTATAAAGTTTTTCATAATCATAAATAAGTTCTGATCTGAATATTGAAAGTCCATGTCTGCCATCTTCTTTAGCTTTATTAAATGCATCACTATATATGTAATATATATTTTTAAAGGTTAAATAAAATTCATGAATAATATACTTCTTAATAAATAAATATAATTTATATTACTTACTTCATCAATGCGATAATCATATTTAATAAAACAAGAACCAGAATGATATTTGCCAAAAAAGCTAATAATTTTAGTGGCCAATAATCATAATTACCAAAGTTAAGTGTATTCCAATAGTATGCAGAAAGAATGGCATCCACCGGTGTATCAAATGGATTATCTGGTTCAGTTTCAGTTAAAGTGAAATTTTCAGATCCATTATTTAATGTATAAGTTGAAACTGAAGGATGTAAGTTAACAAGTGATGGATATCCGAAAAGAATAAACCTGTTTATAAATATAGAAAAAAAAATTTATTTTCTTGTAATAACTTAATACAAGAATGAATAAAATAAAAAAAATTTACATTGAATGGCCAAATCCAACTGTTAAAACAATCATGAATGCAAAAAACGGAATAATGATTTTTAAAATACTTCCGAATATGTAGATGTTAATTGCTATTCCTGAAAATAATCGTAACCATAAGAGCTTGAGGAAATAAATAACAATAACAATTTAATATGATTAAATTAAAAATTTATAATACATAAAAAAGTATTAAACATACCATTTCAATCCAAAGTATTAAAGTAGTTACTGATGTTAAAAGAATAATCCATTCATCATCAAATACAAAAAACATTAACGTAAGATTAGTTATACCAAAAATGGTACTACATAGATCAAATATGTGTAACATGGTTAAATTATTTTTCATCCGCATAAACTCAACGATGGATAAATCAATTCCAAGGTAATAAAATATTACGATCATAACTATATTTGCCGTTTTGCTGTAATTTTCATGATTATTTAAAAACATTTGAGTAAGATAAGAATATAAGACTAAAAATATAAAATATTTAATCAAAAAAATCATCCAATTAGTTTTTGTTTGATTCCATCTTGAATTTATAATTGCTTCCATAGCCGGAATATAAAAAAATGGGCTGTTATTTTTTTCAACTTGAAGAAACGGACTAAATTGTTCATTCTGCCTAAACGGATTAATTGGAATAAAGATTTTTCTTAAGAATTTTGCAAATATTTTCAAAACCGCCCAAAATTTTTCAAATTCTCCAGTTTCTTCGGGTTCTTCATCAGTTTCTTCATTTGGACAAGTTGTAAAATTTGGAAGCGGAACCATACAAATATCAGACAACATATCATATCTATATTAAATATAAAATGAATAACAGATTTAAAATATGACTTGATTTTAAACGATATTTAGAACTACACTTACCTTAATTTTCTATATTTCGAATAAGTAAGCAAAGAAACAAAATTTGTAGGTATAAGTTGAGTGAGCGGTAAATAAACTTCTAATAAATCTTGCTTAAATGATACAGTTTTAAATCTTTTATTCGGAAAATTATATTTCATCTCTCCAAAACAAGATTTATAATATAATAAATCCACATAATTGGCTATAATATACAGTATGATAAGTTTTTTTAAATAAAAATATTATTAAAATAAAATAGTATAAATGAGCATACCATATTTATGTTTAGATAATTCCGGAAGAATTTCTGTAACATTAATCATCCAACCAATATGAGATAGAGAATTTTCTGAATAATATTCTAATAAATATGCCAACATAACAGCATCTCGATCTATTAAATAAAAAAAGAAAATTAAAATAAAAAATACAATTAAATAATATTGATAAAACAATAATTTAAAGTGCTAACCTTTACAAAAACTTAAAGCTAATTTCAAATCATTATCCAATTTCGATAATTTCAAACTCTCATGATGATATGGGTAAGAACCATATTGACTTCGAGGTCTATGTAAGTTTTTGGCTTTTGAGTCTTTGTCAAATAGAATGAATTTGATTAAAGAAATTGATCGAGCACAAATTAGAAGTGCCATTAAAGGATATTGAATCTCCATGAGTTTCCAGTGATCAGGATGGTTTTTAATGAAAGTTTTAATAAATTTTATAATTTCGTTAACATGTTTAGAATCAATAATTTTTTTCCGATCATTACGGTTATTATATGAGTAAACAAGTAATCCACATGCAATATTCATAACAGTAGTCTCGTCGTCATCTAAATCAGGGTTGCTTTTATCGTCTATCTCGAGATATAAATCTTTAAATGTTTTAAAATTTTCATTTGATAAATTTTCGGAACTAGATTTCATAGATTTTACAGAATCGTTATCGATTAAATTATGTAAAATATTAATTTTTATTTTATCGTCAAGAAAAACTACCATCCCATTTGCTTTTGTTAAACTATAATCATAATTCGATAGAATAGAAGTATTATGTTCAATGATAAAAAGATCATCTAAACATCCCGTTAACAGCCAAATATGAAATTTCATATCACCATTTGTATCTTCTCCGATGAAGAATAATTTTTTATTCTCATCAATAAATTCCAAAAATTTAATTTTTAAAACACAATCAAATTTTTTTGAAACAACTTCGAGTCCACTTTCCATTAAATATATCGTAATAATATTGTTGTCTCCATAGGAATAAGCAAATAAATCTGAATCAGTCGATATTGCGAAAATTCCAGGTTCGTTATTTAAGCCAATTAAATCTGAATCATTCGATATTATGGAAATCTCAGGTTCGTTGGTTTTTTCACGATTTATGTAAAAAACGTTTACTAATTGTGAAGTATTAATATTATAAATTTCAATATGCTGCATTTGTTGATTATAACCTTTGTCAGTCATTAAAAATTCCCGATATCTTGACTTCAAAAGATATTTCCAATTTCGTTCTACATCCTTGCTGCTTTCTAATTCTTTAAATAAATTAAATAAATTCTCAGGTAGCAAAAAGCTATCTTTTTCAATCATTTCAAATGAGACTTTATTTTTATTATTTATACGAAATTTTTGCATTCTTATATAATTCATGCAAACAAGTATCGTGCTATTCTTCGAAGGTAGAAAACCAACAACTCCATTAAAAGGGTACGTGATTCCTGAGAGGGACACGGACTCCGAGTCTTTCTTTTCAGAATTCAAGTGGGACAAGTCAAATCTGAAAATCTTTATCATTCCTTTGTTTTCAGATTTTTTAGGTTTCAAGAATAATTGAAATTGTTCAAATACTTCATTATTGAACATTCTTTTATTGTAGGGAGGAAAGAGACGATCGTAAAGGAGAGAATATAAAACGAAAGGGAGAATGCAGATAAAGGGAATGATAAAAAGGATTATGAGAAGAAAGAAAATAAAAGGTCCAAAAATGTCATTAATTTTTCTAAAATATGCCTTTATTAGAACTGGTTTATCTGGCTTTTTATCGCTTTTAGACGGAGTAGTCGGAGGCACGTCTTCGCCAATTATGTAAGAGATCGCGACAAAAAAATAATTTCCATTGATATCCGAAACTGCTAAAGACCATTCAAGGACATTAAGGACATTAAGGACATTCTTATCAAATATATTCGTTATTTTCTTGTCATCTGTATCCACCATCTTGTCATCTGTATCCACCTTTTTGATCAATATATAAGGATCTGTACTATCTGTACCTGGATTAAACTTTACTATTATCGAACCATCCGGGCTAATGGCTACGTAATTCTTTACTATAGCAGAATTCATTTCTTTTTCTTATAAAATATGAAAAAGCGACAAAAAATTCTAAAAGAAATTATTCTTTTATACACGAATCACTTAAAAAATTATCGCAGTAAAATACAAATTTTGATTGAGATCACCCAATATATTTTAAGTCTATACAAAAAAGAATATCAAAATGAAATTCATGCAATGCACAATTTGAAATAAAAAAAAAATGCAAGAGATCACCCAATATATTTTAAGTCTATACAAAAAAGAATATCACAATGAAATTCATGCAATGCAAGGTTGAAATAAAAAAAAAATGCAACCAGTTTCGTAAAAATAAAATTAACTTAGAAATTTTTAATGAATACGTACAATGCTAATGATAAAATATTTTACGCTAACCATTTTAATGTTCATCAAGTTTATCTTTATTTACAAACAAAGTAATTTTAAATAATGAAAAAACTTCCATTTTGTATTACCAATAATCTTTTTTGATTTCGCTTCATCTATTATTAAAAAAAATGAATACTCAAAAAAGAATTTTTTTGTTAATAATATTATTAAATTATGAGATGTGAAATGTCTTAAATTCAAATTATTTACAAATGTTCAAACCTATAAAGAAATGATATCACCCAAGTAAAAAATGCATAAATTAGGTCATTATAAAATCAAATCTAAATTTGTTTATATGTAATTATCTGCTCGTTATTTTAGGTGATAAATTAAGCAATGCACTTATTTTATTTATTTTATATGCTCAATTATGCAAATACGCCGTTGTATACACTTATCTTTATTTTCAGTTATGGTAAACGATTACATGTATGTTAAAGGTTATTTAAACTTCTCTTTCTTGCCTGAGTTTTGATTATAGAACAATGTCTACAATAAGTGAAAATGATCCTATTAGTACGGAACCTAATACTGTAGAATTTTCAAAGGAAGATGTCTCTGAATCAAGTCCGTGAAAAATCAATTTAAAATTTTGTTTTATTGAGTCATTTATTAATAGTTATGAATTTTATCAAATTAGATTTACTTGGAGTAGCGCGAATTAATATTGTAAATGTTAAAAATCTCAATAGTGATACTTTAGATGTAAGAATTACTTGTTTAGAGAGTGGTAATAAATATAGCAAAACTCATGTCTGCGAAAACATCAATTCAAAGTGGAATCAAGTCTTTTATATTCCAATTTATAATATTGATAAAAAATTAAAGATTCGAGTTTGTGGTGATATTGCTTTCTTTAAGTCTATAAGTTTGGGATCTTATATCTTTAATCCAAAAAACTTCATTGAAGGAAAGAAATTGGATCTTGAACATGATTTAATAAAACCAAAAAATAGTATACTACCCAGACCTAATAAAGGAAATCTCCGTTTTGATGCCGATTTCTATTCCTTTTCTAATCGTGAATTTACAACAAAAACAACAAAATTTTCTAAAACTATTATTTTCTTTTATAGTTTATGTAATTTGATAACTCAAAATGATAGTGTCAAACTAGACAAATTAGTAATCTTATTTAATTTTAATTCCGAAAAGGAATTAAAGGAATTGATAAAAACATTTGTTGATACTATTAATGATGAAAAAGTAAAAACTATTTCTGATAATATATTAATTGCAGGTAACTTGAAATAATTATAATTTTATTAATTACATAAGATATTTTGCTCATGTATTGAATACATTACGTAACTTTTTACCTCCTACAGCACTCTTTAAAGCTTCATTATGGAACGAGAAAGATTATGTGCCTTATATGAATCACGTGATGTGGAATTCATATAATATATATGAAAATTATTTGAAAACAATCGATAAAGACATTGAAGAACGATTATATAATTTGGCCAAAAAATTTATCATCAAACACTTTAAAACCAGTGAATCTTCTTGGGTCAGTTGGGTTGGCGAAGCAATACAATCTGCAACCATAGACGTATCTCAATCAACAAAAATTAAAAAATCTAAACTTATCAAAAAATTTGCTGTAAAATTTGCTGAAGAATTTGTTATTAAATTCACTGATCTTGTTAGGCTTAAATTAAAGCCTGAAAGTGCTAAGAAGCTTGTTTCATATAAAGTCGACGTTACTATTGGATCATTGCATGAACAAACCAAGGATTCTTTGGGTAAAAATACAACCGATACTGTAGTTTCTACGCTAATTAATCTTAAATCAGAAACCACGATCGTCGAAAACCAAAAACCCGATGGTTCTATTAAATTAGACAAAACCGTTTCCGATCAAATTAACATCTCTTCTGATAACATAAAATCCTCAATTCAAACTTATGGTGTTAGCGATAAATTAAAATCACTCCCAAAGAACGTATGGGAGACAGCCTTATCACTCCGTTACTTAAATATTACCTCTCAATCTCAAGATCAACATAAAGAACAATTTGAAAAAGCCAAGAAGTACCTTATTGAGGAACTCAAAGATGAAAAATTAGTAGAAGAGATATTAACAACGTCGGAAAAGATTATTGTTGATCAAAGTGTCAAAAAAGGAAAGGAAGATGCCGTTTCCACTATCAAAAGCTCTACCACAACCGAAAAAGCAAAACAAATAGTATCATCCCAAAAAGAAGATGGATCCTTAGAACTCCCTGACACCATTTCTAAGGCGCTTGATGTTGAATCTAATGAATCATTAGTTTCATCTACTAAAACTTATTTCATCGGTAAAGGAACAAAAGCACCAGAGAACAAAAAAGTAATAGATACAGCTATAACCTTATCCTTCCTCAGAAAAACATCATCTACTGACGCTTCACCAGAATTGAAAGAAAAAGTTGCAAAAGCAGAAAAATATTTGAAGACTGAATTAGGAAGTGAAGAAAAAATTAAAGAATTATTAGAAAAAACCGATACAGTTGTTGTCGATCATGCAGCCAAGAAAGTAATCAAAGAAAAAGCGGAACAAACGATTGTCCAAGAAATTCAAGAAACTGTAACTGAAGAAGAGATCACAAAAATTATTGAAATTCAAAATGAAGAGGGTTCATATGATAAAATATCTGACCAGATTACCGAAAAACTTGGAGAAATCACAACTGAAAATATTTCATCCTCCGTCCGTATTACTGATGAACGTGTCAAAAACTTAGATACCAAAGTATGGGATACATTTATAACAATTGCTTATTGCAATAAAATGTTAGGAAAACATCAATCAAAAATGACGACTCAAAAGGAAAGAGCCCTCGCTTGGTTGCGTACTCAAATCAAGGATGAAAAATTAGAAAAAGAAATTTTAGAATCCTGTGAGAAATTAGTAGTTGAGAAAGCTTTTAATAAAAAGAAAGAATCTATTTTGTCTTCTTTGTCTAGTTGGGGATCTGATACAGCTAAATCCACCGAAGAAGTAATACATGATGCATTATCACGCCAAAGGGAGGATGGATCTCTACAACTTTCTGATACTGTTTCTAAAGAACTTAAATTTGAGTCGACTGATTCATTGGTATCTCATGTTGAACGTTGTCTCAAATACGAAGGAGATGAAGTGCCAAAGAACCAATATTTACGAGAGAATAAACAGTTACTGCATACTGCTATAATTTTATACTTCCTAAAAACGAAACATATTCCACCAGAATTAAAGGGAAAATATGAAAAAGCAGTGAAATATTTAAGAATTGAATTAGAAAGTGATAATTCCGAAAAAGTAATGGATAGAATCAGTATGATCATTAATATTGTACGTGCAATGAAAGAAGCAGAGGAAAAAGGGTTAGTAAATAGAGTATTGACCGATACAGCTAAATCCACCGATACTGTTTCTAAAGAACTTTCGACTGATTCATTGGTATCTCATGTTGAACGTTGTCTCAAATTCGAAGGAGATAAAGTGCCAAAGAACCAATGTTTACGAGATAATAAACAGTTACTGCATACTGCTATAATTTTGTACTTCCTAAAAACGACTAATATTCCACCAGAATTAAAGGAAAAATATGAAAAAGCAGTGGAATATTTAAGAACTGAATTAGGAAGTGATTCCGAAAAAGTAATGAATATCAGTATGATCATTAATACTGTATGCGCAATGAAAGAAGAGGAAAAGGCTAAAGTATTGACCGATACAGCTAAATTCACCGAAGAAGTAATACGTGATGCATTATCATGTCAAAGGGTTAATGGATCTCTACAATTTTCTGATACTGTTTCTAAAAAACTTAAATTTGAGTCATTGGTATCTCATGTTGAACGTTGTCTCGAATCCGAAGGAGATAAAGTGCCAAAGAACCAATGTTTACGAGATAATAAACAGTTACTACATACTGCTATAATTTTTAACTTCCTAGAAACGAAACATATTCCACCAGAATTAAAGGAAAAATATGAAAAAGCAGTGAAATATTTAATAACTGAATTAGAAAGTGATTTCAAAAAAGTAACGGATAGAATCAATATAATCATTAATACTGCAACGAAAGAAGTAGAGGAAAAAGAGTTAGTAACTAAAGTATTGACCGATATAGCTAAATTCACCAAAGAAGTAATACATGATGCATTATCATGCCAAAGGAATGATGGATCTCTACAACTTTCTGATACTGTTTCTAAAGAACTTAAATTTGAGTCATTGGTACTTCACGTTACAAGTTGTCTCGAATCCGAAGGAGATAAAATGCACCTATATTTACGAAATGAACAGTTAATGCATACTGCTATAATTTTAAACTTCCTAAAAACGACTCATATTCAACCAGAATTAAAGGAAAAATATGAAAAAGCAATGGAATATTTAAAAACTAAATTAGGAAGTGATTTCGAAGAAGTAATGAATATAATCAGTATGATGATTATGATCATTAATACTGTACGTACAATGAAAGAAGCAGAGGGAAAAGGGTTAGTAACTAAGTTCTTTGATTATCTTTCTTCGATGGTAAATAATTTATATAAATAGTATTATTACTTTTTGCTGAATAATTGTGTACTTTATGCTATAATCCTAAAGATAATATATACCATAATAAAAATTTTCTGCTCTCGTAAAATCTTTAATAATTAAATTAATATGTAATTATCTAATTAAAAATACAACTTTGGCTCAATAAATTACTTATAAATTCATTTTATTTTTGTTTTCAAATCATGTTTGTGAATTTTTTAATTTTGAGCGTGATTATTATGTAGGATTTTACATAATTAACATAGAATAAATCACATGAACTAAATCAGAAGTATATTTGATTAAATTTAAAATCCAATTTTTTTCTTTTGGGACGCTGTACTACGATTTATATTGGATCGGCGCAGTAGGCGCCCGCATATTATTGAAAGATGAGATCATCCTATATCAGATGCACTCGCATCAAAATTTAATTTAAAACAAAGCTTCGAATAAACTTAGCACAGAAAATTTGAATAAACATTTAATGATTTTAATCAATGGTCCTGATATAGAATTAATTTAAAAGCAAGGCGGATGCAAAATGTATTAAATTCTCAAAGAGTGAAATTAATTTTTATTAAATAAACATTTTTAGCGGGTAGGACATGTATTTTAGTAATAAATAAAATTTTCTTGCGCGCTTATTATAAGGCGACACAAAGTAAAAAATTTTTTTATATTATCACTATGCCGGGTGAGAATTTTTTAAAAATTGAAAAAAAAAAAAAATTAAAAGCCGGGTTGCCGGGTTATTGATATCTTAAAGATAGATTATCGTATGTTTTACCCTTAAAAAATTTTCCCATGAGAATTTGACAAAAAATTTTGATTCATGTTCAGTATTTTCTTTTTTTATTACACATTTGAATCATTTAACATAATTGTTTTCATTAATTCTTGAATAGTAAAATTAAAACAGATTGTACTACAATTTATATAAATTTCATTTGGAATGTTTTTTCCCTTATTTTTTTTTTTCTTTGTCCTTTTTACTATCTTCCTCATTATTTTCATTATCTGCAGGAAATCCTTGAAGTGCATTTTGAATCTGCGGATCAGATAAATCTACTCCCGGTAAAGTTTGCAGAACTGCACTCATAAATTCTTGATCATGCATTCCCTAAAAATAAGTAAAATCTGATAAATAAATAAACAGCAATGAAAATAATTTTTGTTAATTTCTTACAGATCCGCCTTCCATCGACATTTGAATCGCTCGGGCCATTTGTTCATCTTCAGTTTCTTCTTCCATTTGAACATCTCCTTCCTGAATAAATTAAATGTTGTTTAAATTAAAAAGTAAAAATTATAGATAATAAAAGATTGTAATATATAATACACACTCGAGTTTCGCCTGCTGAAGACATAGCTAAGGCTTGAGCTAACATATCATCTTCGGTTTTATCATTTTGGTTATCACTAACAGTTTTGTCAATGTCCATTGAAGTTGGCTGTGTCTCTTGAGTGGCCGTAGCACCTGCGGCTTTAGCTGCCTCAGCTTCCTGTCTTGCCTTCTCTTCTTCGAGAGATATACGTAGGGCCTAAAGGTTTATTAGATTACTTGTTGATAAAATATTTAATATCAAAACACGAGCATACCAGCGCTAATTCTGGATCAAGGTTAGGGTCAACTCCAAATTCAAAATTGCTCCCTCCACCAGCCGTAAATCCAGCAGGAACACCATCTTCTCCTGCTATTATAGGAGATGATATCAATATGTCACTGAGGATATGCGGACCGGGTGGTATTGGTACAAGGTGACTAAAATACATAATTAAATTAAAAATTAAAAATTGATTGAATAATTTACATATGAATACATATGAAAAGCTTTACCTATTATCACTATTATTCACTGCAGATATAAAAGCTTCCAATTTCGCGGTGTTTTCGGCTTCCTCTCCAAAATTAATGATATCCACCGCTACACTATTCTTTTTCATCTTTTTAGCTAGCTTCACTAATGTTTTCTCATCGGCTTCAATAGGACTACCTACAAATACTATAATTCTTTGTCGTTGATTTTTGTTTTGTCTGTGTTTGAGAGCAAGCTTTAAACGGTTATATTTTGTTAGATCGTATATAAAAAACGTTATTAAACCTAATGAATCAAAATAATAAAAAATACAACCTGTGCAACTTGAATCCCAGTCGTTAAATTTGCCTTCCCACCAATTTTTATGTTATGCAATGCTGTAAGAATTTTACCAATATCCGATGTTAAAGTAACGAGTACTTCAGGACTATTATAAACAAATAAACGATTTACCAATCATAAGTCAAATGTTCATATTACCGTTTTGATAAAATTGTACATACCCTTTGCCAGCCATAGTAAGTAAACCTACAGTATTCTCTGGGTTGGAATTCGTTTTTGAACCAAAAATGAGATTAACTGCATCTTTTTGTGCTTCTAAACGTGTTGGCGTATAGTCTCCATTACGCATCCATTCCGAATTATCCAAACTATGAAAAGGTAGCTTTCAAGGTTAAAAAATAGGCAGTACTCGTTGTGTACATCTTGAAATTAAAGCTAGATAAACTTACACTAGCATAGTCGCTTCGAGAACCATTTTGAATTCGATAGATCTTTGAGCGGCCTTTACTTGACTAGCCCAGTTTATGCAGTCATTAAATCTTTGGTGCTGATCGTGTGAACATTTAATTGGATGATATTTTATATGGAATTTGGCAGTCTAAATAACTATTATAGATCTATTTTTCAACTAATCGTTTTTCTTAAGGTTTTGCGATGACAGACTTTAGCTCTGAATTTCCGCCTCTTGAAGATTTTCCCACTTCTTCAAATACAAATGAAAATGCAAACTTGGAATCTGACTTTTTAGCAAGAGAACAAGCTGTCTTAGGAGCCGATGCGGCCTTATTCTCAAATTCAAATCATACTATTACATCAACAAGTAATGAGCTTGAAGGCTTCCCGGACATTACCTCACCGTCAACAAGCAACGTTTTGAGTCCTCCTGTTAGTAACACTTCTATTGTCAATTCTGTTTCTGATTATTCAGCTTTTCATTCAGAGTTTCCACCAGTAGAGGTTGAAAGTCAGGCAAGTTTAGTGGGAATTTTATTATTAGTATATGTAAATCAATTGGTATATATAATATATATTTTTTTTCTGCAGGCATTGTACAGTAATAGCAATGGAAAGGTTCCGCTTTCATTGTCATCAGATAATAATATAATCCATAATGTTGAAGAGGAAGATCCGGAAATTATCCGGTACATTTAAAATTTAATGATTTATTATTTGGACGTTTTGAATACATATAAATATAACGTAATTGATAAAATAGACAATGGAAAGAACGACAAAGAGAGATTATCGTCAAGCGCGATGAAGCATCTGAAGAAAAAAAACGAGAAACACTGTCTATTGCGCGCGATGCAATTGATAAATTCTATGAAGAATACAATGAAAAGAAAGCTCGTACCCATGAACAAAACAAGTAATTTTCATTTATTATTTATTGTTAATCAATGAAATTTATTTTAAATTATGAAGTAGTTTTGTTTTAATATATGGTTTAAATTTATAAGACAAGATGAAGAAACGTTTTTGCGCGAACGAGATGACCTTACTTCTGGCACAGCTTGGGAGCGTATTTGTAAACAGGTTGATCTTTCAACAGCACAAAGTAAGACAACCAATAAGCATGTTAAGGATGTGAGTAGATTCAAAGAGTTGCTTTTGAGCTTGAAAAAAGACGAAAAGGCCCCTGGTGCAGGTGGTTATTAAAGAAACGAACTTTATTACTTAAGGAATATTTTTGCAAAATTTTACTACAAAATAATAATTTTTTTATGATTAGAAATTAGTGTTTAGCCATAATAATAATATATAAAATAATACGTATTTGCGGATTTGTAAATTTTTTTTTTTTTTTTTTTCTTAATATAAAAATATGGTGCTATTTAAGTTAAATTACAAAACACGTGGTTCGAAAAATTATAAATAATGGATTTTTGGATCAACAAATTTGAGTATTTCTCCTACCAATTACTTCGGGATTGTAGTTAAATTAGTTAAATTCTACCTAACATGTCTTCACCCACAGTAAATTCTCCAATTGGAGAATTTAACTTCGCAGCTAATTCGAGTCCTGATGTAATAGGAGAACGTTGTAACGTTATAGAGCGTCGAGCAAAAGCATATTTTACTAAAGCTGAAGTAACCCGTTGTGCAGAAAAACAGGGCTCTGGTGATTCTAAGGATAACATGTCAAGAGCGCAATGGTGCACTTTTATAGACGCTGTAGGAAGTAATCTTGGGTTGTAAGTTGAATATATTAGTTTAGAGAGAAATGCTTGAATTTTTCCTCTCTTCAATTTGATGGTCCTGTCTCACGAGATTCTTTATAAATTAAAGACCACAGAATACGATAAGCACAGCACAATTACTTTATAATAGATTCTTTTTATTTCAACCTTCAAAAGACTTTGCATCTGCAAAGCAAAAAACTGTAATGTTGTATTTATCATTTTTTTTTGGTTAGGTGTTTAATGACGATTATATTTTTTCCTGATTGTTATATCAATTCGAATAGGATTTATGTATCACATGTTTATTTGTTTCAACAAAGATTGAAGAGACATATAAAAAACTCAAAGACATTTTAGTGGCAGCATATCAAGTTAAGCATCCTGAAGGGCCTGAAATCAATGCAGAAAGTCAGGTACATTTAATGAAATTTGTAATCATATTTGAATAATGAGAAAATTATTATACTATATCATTTATTTGTTTATTTTAACTAGACGTTAGAAGAACAGAGACGTCGTGTTATACAGAATGAGCGCACGATAGTCGAAACTATATGTTTCGATTTTCAATTTGTGCTTCCTCATAAATTGCTTGTAAAATTCGTTAAGAAACTAAAAGGTATTTATTTCTTTTGAATTATTTTATTTTATTTTATTTATTTTATTTTTTATAATTAAAATTAATGTTAATTCGTATATATTTTACATATTATAAAAATAGGTGACAAATATTTGTATCTTAAGGCATATAATATAGTTAACGAATGGTAAAAGAAGTTTTTTATATCGTTATTATTAGATAGCTTGCAATAGTGAATGAATTTTTTTTTTTCTTTAAAAAAAAAATAAATAAATATTTCTAGTTACAAAACAACGGTATGCCTTAGGTTTCCTCCTGCTGCTATGGCAACAGCTTCAATTTTTCTTGCTACAAAATTATTGCACCGCGAAAATTTCCCATTCACAATTCACAATATGCCTTGGTATAAGATTTTTTTGGTTAAAATTGAAGATATCGAAGGTAAAAAAAAAGTGACTGTATTATTATGGATTTCCATCAATTCACATTTTTTCAAACTATTTATAGAAATAAGTTATCTTATTTTGGATCATTTTATATTGGAATCATCATCTAACCCCGATGATTCAGCTAATGAGGAATATACACAATTGAAATTATCTATAAGTCAACAAGCTAAAGTGAGGGAAGCGGCAATGGAAGATGTAACTATGAACAATATAGATATTGAATCTAGTAAGAATTTAAATTTAATTTAATCTTTTTCTAGTATTTGTGTTTTTAAAATATTCCATTTTTTATCAGACGGAGATTCATTGCAAATGATCAACGGAGCATCAAAAGATCACACCGTCCGCTATATGTTTGCGACTGTTCCGGAAATACATTTTGTTTAGTTATATGTTACCGAGTAAAGACGATAGGCGAAGGAGAAGAACGAGACGGTGATGGGCGATCACGTGATTATTTATGAATTTGTTTGAAGTTTAACATTAATAAGAATGGTAAAATAAAAATTTCTTTTTTATTTTTAATTAAGAAAAATCTAACGATATGTTCTAATGATTTCTTATATTACTATAACATTTATAAGATTTTTTCTCTCTTTTCTTTTTTTTTGTAGATATAAATGTATCAATACATGAGCACGCACAGTTAGTATTTGGAGAAAGGATACTCCTTAATTTGTAAATAAAAATTTAGAATATAAATATGTTTAACATAAATATTATATAAATAATATAGAGGTGATTTTGTAAATACTTTTAAATGACAAATTTATTATTGATTCAATTCATATATATTATATCAAATACGAAGATATCTCTTCTGAACCAGTCTTAACGTGATTTAAAGTATTCTAAAAGTACGTTCCTAGCTTCAGAATCTTCGCCATAATCTTTAACAACTACGCAAGAACAAGCTACTACCTTACGGGGATTACCTTCTCTATCAATTTTACACAATCCGGCCCATTCTCCTAACTTTTTGGCATCGCTTACTTTAATTAATTGAATATTATGTTCACTACATAATGCTTCAACAAGTTTAATATATTCTTTTTCGGTACAAGTTTCGACAAGGACACATAAGAAAGCTTGACGCCTGTTATTACAAAAAAGATCGGGATTATTAGGAAATTAACGACCTAAAAAAAAAAAATTTTATGACTTACCTATCCAAAGCCTTGGCGCATTCTCTCAATCCTCGAGCGAGACCGTCAACGACAAGAGCACGCTTTAAAACGTCCTGAAGAGCATCTTCGACGGTCTTTAATTTAAAAAGAATCAATTGATTATTTATCAATAGAATCATAATATCGTATCAATCTGATATTCCTACCATTTGGCCTTTAGCAGGAGTGTCAGAGCTAACAAGGATTTCTTCCTGTTGATTTGCTCCATCTCCAACTACATCTTCAACTTCCGATTCATCATCTCGGTCTTCTACCATGGGTGGCATTTTCTAAATTTTTTTTTAGTGTTTTTTATAACGGGTATCCAGACGTCCTCACTTAAAAATGATATAATTAATATATTGATTATACTATCATTAAAATAAATAATAACAGATAAATGATAATACAAAATAAAAAAAAAAATACATACATGATGACTTTTCTCTTTTCCCCTAAAGCAAAAATGATGAACGATGATGGATAGATGAAATTGAAAAAAATAAAAAAAAAAAATTTAAATAGATCTCGATCTGCAAATCATGAAAGTTATAAAAGATCTTGCTGAAATTAAACATGATAATTCGGGCCACATTTTGTATAATGCTGCTGACTGTCGATCTTTTTCACATGAATGTCAATTAAACCAATGCATATTTGTAGTACGTAATCTTATTATTGATGAAATTTCAATAATCACTTTTATTATTATGCAAATTTATATAATACAAAATAATACCGATCTCCTCGATTTTACATAAATATTAATAATAAAAATCACAATTTTAATTAAGTTTCAAATTTTTTTATTTATTAATTTTTTATGAAACAGAAATAAAAAAAAGAAAATATATATAAGGGGAATGTAATAAAGGGGATTTTAAAACTAATCACAAGAAAAAGAAAAATTTAAATGCACAATACGTTCAATATAACGTTTAACCATCACACTATAATAATCAACGATAATTTCTATCTAATTCAATTACGAAAAAGTATAATAAAATGTATTATTTTTTATTTTTAATTTTTTCTCCAATCTCTTCAGTATTAATTTCTTCAGTTCTTAGTTTCTTATTTAATTAGAGGTCTTTGCTTTCTTTCTTCGTTGAGTAGATGAAGGAGCTGCAGTATCATAAATATTATTTGGATAAGTTACCGAGTTATTAGAGTGGCTTGAATGATTTGTGTGATGAGATGATGGAGCGTAAGGAATAGTTTGGTGATTTGAAACGAATTCATATTCCATATTATCCACGAACTTTTTCAATGTGTCAAAGACCTTATTGTTGAATCTAATATCATCATGTTTAGCACGAACATGTTTCTTCATAGCTAAAAGACGATTTTGGTATTGGAAGATCGGTAACTTGGGAAATTTAGCGATCATGTAAGTTAAAAATACAAATTCCACTGGAGCCAATCTATGATCACGATGAAATAATTCAGCATCGTCTTCGATCATCTCTTCTATGGTCGTATAAATTTGTTTAGCCAATGCCTTAAGACCTTCAGGAACTTCGCGATCTTCTTTCAAGTATTTAGTAATTGTGGCAGGAGTTGCATTGAATTTTTCCGGTTCAGTTTCAATCATGTGTAAAGATTGAGTAATAAGTTGAAAAGGCCGAGCGCGTTTATTATCCATTATGGAAGAAAGAGTGGAATGTTGACTGTAAATTGTATGAGCGAAATCAGCCATTGGACTGCTAATGGCTTGAAGTTTTTCAGCAGGAGTTAATGCAACTCCCAGTTGTACACGACTGAAGATTTCTTGTTCTTGGTGTAAAGTAAGATCATAATACTCAACTAAATAATATAAGATAAAATAATAATATGATAAATTCTTAAAGTGATAATAAGAAATCTCATTACTTTTATAGGTGATATTTGTGATTACGATCATCATCACCATCACCAGAATATTTTTTGAATCTTACCACAAAGAAGCTCAGAACAGTCAAACATTTCACGTTCCGCTTCTGTCAAAGAACGTCTATTATTAAGATTTCTATAATATCGCTTAGTTATATTACCATCAGAAGGGCTAAGATGAGGGATTTCATTATCCATGAATCTGTAATTCAGATTAATAAACGTATTTGTTGCGTAGAAAATTAATCATGTCTAAAATATTGTGATTTAAGATAACTACTTACTTTCTGATAGCGGTAAGGCGTTGTTTACCGTCAATACAAACGCGCATCCATCTTTTGCTATCCAGTTTTTTACAAGAGAAGATTATGGGGGGGACATAGAAGTTATTAAGCACCGAGTCAACCAAGTGTGACTGCTTGATTCCTGTCCATACTATGTCTATCATAAAATAGAACAAAAGAAAATAAGTAAAGCTAAGCGTATAAAGATTTGTTTATTAATTACTCTACTGCGCCACATTCGCTTATTCTTTAAGTATGCATATATGCATTTTTTTTTTTTGTAGTAACATAACGAAATGTAGAATAAAACAAACAATAATCTCGCATATTTTTTAAAACCGGTCAATATTACTTCATACATACCTCTTTGAAATTCAGGATTCAAGTCAATCATACCCATTTGTAACCAGTTATATAACTTATACATAGTATGGGTAACATTTCTTGGTTTTGTAAGTGCTTCATCCATAGTTGGCTCCAGCTTGACAAATTTTTTTATAAAAAGAAGGGAAAAAAATAGAAGTTTCTTTTGTAAAATATAAAATAAACAATAACTTTATTATTATTATTATTTTTCCAGGAGAAGAAATTATCCTTATAAACTATAAATAAATGAGAATTTTTTCTGAAAAGAGCAATTATTTATTTATTTATACAAAAAACTAAAATTTATTAAATGATTATTTAATATGAAAAAAGTATGATGAAAAGTTGATGGAAAGTCTATGTAGAAAATAATCACTCTTTTATATCACATTCAATAATCAAATGGAATTTTTGTTTTTTTTTCAAAATACATAAACTTGGATTAAGAAGGGAAAAAAGTTAATAATATTAAATTAACTAAAGTAAATAAGTCATGTGAAATACTATATTTATCTCAAATATATTATTATATGAAATTCCAGCCGTAGTTTTTGACCTTTACAAGATCGACAAAAATACAAATAAATTTTGAAATGCAACATATTATAATAAATTTCTGGTGAAATTTAACTAAACTAATTCCGGTCGAGAGAGACCCTTAGCAAAAACAAATAATAATAATCAAAAATGTGACAGAACAGAACGCAGAAATTATTATAAACAACAATCATTAATTGCAATTCGGAATATTATTGTTAGGTAAATCGCATTATTGTTATGTTAGTATTGTACAATAAAAAAATCATAAACTTATTACAAAGATTATATTGTATCTATACACAATATCAAAATTGGTAAGAGCTAATTGTTCATTAACTTATAAATAACACATTTTTTCTAAAATTTTATCATATCGATTAAACTACAATTCAACATTCCGAAAATTTTCACCTTGCAAAAAGTAAGATAATACAATGCAACAACAGGAAAAATTAATATTTGATGGAAGACATACACCGCAAAATATTTCTTCACATAGTTTTTTTTTTGGGGCAGTATTTGGAGTATGTTTGGCAATAGGTTATTATTCAGAAACAATTCCACAATTAGGAGTATTTCTTTCTGCTTTAGCTTTATTCCATGAATTAGAATACATGATGACAGCTCTATTTAAACCCGACATTGTAAGTTTAGATGGTCAGTATTATGATCCTATTGCGAATTATGGATTAAATATTTTAATATAATAATATATTTATCGGTTTTTTTTTTTTTTTAAAAAAAAAAATAGCCTTTCTGTTGAATAATGGAAATCAGTATAATATTGCACACGTAGCAGGAATTACGGAATTCTTGATAGAGTTATATTTATTCCCCACGTTAAAGTATATCCGTTTTATACGTTATATAGGTAAGTTATCATAGTGATCATTATGTGTATGAAAAGTATCTATTTTAAATAAAAAAAACATATACTTTTGACTTAATAATTATAATAGGGTTCATCATAATGGTAATAGGACAATCAGCAAGGAGTCTTGCCATGTGGCATGCTAAATCAAATTTTTCTCATAAGATAGCATATCGTAAAAAACAAGATCACGTATTAGTCACAACGGGGATATATGCTTATATGAGACATCCTTCATATTTCGGTTTTTATTGGTGGGCTATAGGAACTCAACTATTACTTTGTAATCCTATTTGTTTAGCCGGCTTTTTTTTTGTATTACACCGATTCTTTAAGGATAGAATTGAGGAGGAAGAACCTTTGTTAATTAATTTTTTTGGTAAGGAATATATCGAATACAAAAAGAAAACTCCAACTCATATTCCTTTAATCAATTAAATCTACTTTAAAATTATTATATTTATAAAATGTACACAATGAAAGAGTAAATGTAGTATATCTTTAAAATGTTCTTAGAAATAAATTATTATTAATACCACCAAAATCGCCAATATAATACTAATATAATTATAACAAAAATAAATACTAATGGTCCATATTTACGCAAAAGCAATTGCAAATTAAGATCACGTGCTGATTTCTTGTATTTTTGAGACTCGTATCGAAGTTGATCTGAAAGTGAACTCATCTTTTCTAATCCTTCTCCACGCCACAAAACATTCTCTAAATTTTTTGTCATAATATTAGCTACTTCGTTCAATTCTGTATTTAGTCGATCTAGATTATGTTGCGTTCGTGTATTCTGGTATACTTTCTTTGTTTTTTGCATAAAAGTATCTAAAAAAACCCACAAGATATTAAATTACATTTTTTAAGTAAAGAACATTTTTTAAGTTTAAATGCTAGTTACCAAATTTTACAAAAGCGTAAGGTCTTAAATTTCTCTTTTCTACTTCATTCCCATAGCTCATTGAAAATTCTTTTGCGAGCTCTTCCAAATAACTAAATGCAAACTGCCGTGGATATGACCGCTCACAAATTGTCATATAACATACTCCATTTTGAATCAAATAGCTATATAATAAAGCAATTTAGTGTTATGGAAAAGTAGATACAAATTATACTTTATTCACTTACTGAAAATAATAGTTTCCAGACTCAATAGAGCACTTTTCTTCAGAATTCTCATTCATTTTTTTAAAAAGAAGCTTGGCTTTGTTCTTATAGTCTGCGAGTTCTGCTTCTCCATTCTATTTTCAAAAGCGAAAGTATTTAATAAATAACACTTTCTCAATATTAAAACAAATCGTGTTTGTATTAGAAAAGAAGGAATTAACACCTGATCATCATCAACCGAGGCCGCTAACGGAAGTCCTATAAAATAAAAACGTTTCTTTCAAGTAAACTAAAGAAAAAACTCTCAGTATGATACAAAAATCCTCAAGTTTACCGTCAGAAACGCGAGCGATTACTGTATGCTTAACCATCCTCAGTTGATAAATATAAAAATTAAGGTAAAATATTAACAATTAACTTTTTATATCAGTGAAAATGCTACACAAGGTTGTAAGTTGACATCAGTTTCATCTGTCAAATGTTGATTGGCTAATACAAAAAATGTTCCTTAAAATGCGGAACATTCCTTTTTGGAATTAGGCTATTTCTAGATGATAAATATATAATTCATTTTTTTGTCATATCATAATGCGGACTTTTTTTTCATTATTACTAGTAGATACATGTCAACGACTTCAGCCTCAACAATTGCGGCGAATAGTGATTCATCATCAATATCATCACTATCCGCTTTATCACAAAATTCAGAAAGCGAAATTGAAAGAATTTCGCGTATCAGAAAATTATTTGAGGAATTGGATTATGATAAAACTGGTGTTTTAGAACGCAAAAATATTTTAAAAGGACTTAATAGATTGAAAAATCATCCTTCAAAGAAGAAATATGCTTCAGAATTGTTACAGAGATGTGATGTATCATCGGATGGTGTAGTGGATTTTAATGAATTTAAAGCTTTCGTCGAGGAAAAAGAAAAAGAATTATTCAAATTATTTTTAGAAATCGACAAATCAAATGATATGAAGTTACAACCTGAAGAATTAGAGATCGCATTAAGAAAATCTGGTAAAAGTCAAATTCGTTAAATTGACGCAAACTTTTTTTTTTCTTATCTAGCATTTGCTTGCTAATCCATTGAATCATTTATAAGGCATTAATTGTACACAGGCTGAACTAAAGAGATTCATTAATACTATGGATAAAGATCAAAATGGTGTTATTGATTTCTCTGAATGGAGAGATTTTCTTTTGGTAAGAACTTTTCTTTTATACAATTCGTCAGGTGATACTACCAGATTCATATTTCTATGGAATTACAGCTTCTTCCTCGGGAAACAACAATGTCAGAAATTTTCGAATACTATAAAGTCATAGCCCAAGTTAGTATGGATGGCGAAGTAATAATACCACCAACTGATCCAAAATATCTTCTCGCTGGTGCGATAGCTGGTGCAGTAAGTCGTACTGCAACAGCTCCATTTGATAGACTTAAAGTTTATCTTCAAATTCAAACCATATCGCCTCAACTTCTTACGAATACAGTCAAAAACATGATTGTTCAAAGTGAAACGCAAGCATCAAAAAGATTAGTGTCCCCCGCATCTAATAGTATTACTAATGCTATAAAAAGCATATATTTAAGTGGGGGATTAGTTAATTTTTTTCGTGGTAATGGATTAAATGTTGCAAAAATTGCACCAGAAAGTGCAATAAAATTCTTTGCTTATGAACAATCTAAGGTTGCTGTTGCAAACCTAATGGGAGCAAAGGATACTGATTCGATAGGAATGTCTGGACGTTTCCTTTCAGGTGGTCTTGGTGGTGTTATATCGCAGTTTGTTATATATCCTTTAGAAACAATGAAAACTCGTATTATGAGTTCATCAGGTTTATCATTAAATACCTCACCTGGTGGAAGTGTTTTTCTAAAAACAGCGAGTGAGATGTGGAAAACACAAGGACTTCGTTCATTTTATAAAGGATTATTACCGGCCTTAATTGGTGTTTTTCCTTATGCTGCAGTGGACATGAGTGTTTATGAAGGTCTTAAATTGGCTTATATTAATCATGAAAAAACTCTTCATAATGAAAAGGCATCGAGTGTTTTTGTTTCTTTAGGTTGCGGTATGATTTCAGGATCTATTGGCGCGTCTATTGTATATCCTTTAGCGCTTGTGAGAACACGGTATAATAATCAATTTACACATCATTACTCTTTTACATTCAAAGATATCAAATTTTGATTTTATTTTATTTTCTTTGTTAGGTTACAAGCACAAGGAACCCCTGGACATCCACAAACTTATACCGGAGCATTTGATGTAATTAAAAAAACTTATAGTAATGAAAGATTACGTGGTTTTTACAAAGGGTTGGTACCAGCATTAGTGAAGGTAAATAATTAACAATTAATATTATCTGAATAGATTTTCTTGGTTGATAATGGTATTAACAATTTTACTGCTAATAGGTTGTGCCTGCAGCAGCGATTACATATATGGTTTATGATAAAACTAAAAGTAAATTAGAATTAAAATAAATTATAGACACTATCACACTAAAGATAATAAATAATTATTTATTCTTAATATATTGATCGATTTTCCCGATCACTCCAATAGATGATTGGTTTGGTTATAATTCAAAGTTTCTTGGTGTAAAATACCAAATACGTATTTATTAGTTTAAATTTAAAATTTGATAATTTATCTTTTGCGCATATGCATTTTATCGTGGCTATTAATTAATTTTTAGCTGAGGTTAAAATTAGAGAATAGAGTTAAGATTTATAGGGTTCAGGGTTAGGAATATTGTTACATTTCTTATAAGTTAATTTCAAAAAATAAACTGGGTTCAGTTGCTTTAAAACTAATTCTATAACTGATAATATTTGAAAGAAATCTATCACAAAAAATTATATAATAACTATTACGAGAACTTTGATCATGGAAGATAAATTTCTACGAAAGTTAAACTACCTGTAACCTTGATAATTGTTAAAAATATTGTGTATGTATTTATTAATTAATTAATTTTGCAAGTTTAGAAAAAAATCAATAAAACCAGATTATTTGCTTCAATTTCCAAATATCTTTTTTTTTCATTAAATTGTAATAATTGGTAGAAGAATTTTTACAAAACAATATTTCATTCTTAGATTCATAATTATTATTCTTCTTTTTCCTCCTTTAAGAATAATTTTAACCAATAAAATGGCTATTTCAGAAATATTAGAAATAAATTAAATGAAATGTGTGTAGTTTTAGGTGATGAATAATATTTATTAGAATTTATAAGTAAAAATCGAAGGCACGAATAATCTTTTTTTTTTTCTAAAAAAAAAAAAAAAATAATCATCATCATTGTTCATGTGGTTTATTTCCAGTTTTAACAATTTCTAATCCTTCAGATAAATCCCTTTCAAACTTTTCAATATCCATTACACCTTTAACATCAAACCAATTTCCAAAAGATTTAGAAATTGTATATTTAGAATCTTTTAATTTAATAGATGAATCTTGTTTTTCTTTTTCAACATATTCAAAAATAATATTATAAATATCAGAATATCTTTTTGTATTTGTTTGAATTGTAATTGTATATTTGTTGTCATTTTCCACACAGCTTCCTACAAATATAATTTCCTTTTCATATATAAAAGAATACAAAATAAGTAGTGTATTCAATACAAAATATCTAAATTATTAAATTATTAAGTTAAAGGGAATATGATTTTGTATTAAGACAAAAATTCAGATTAAATAAAGGATACGCAATTATACATATAAATGTTACTTCTTTTGCTTCATTGAATGGTGTTATATGTCCATAATATCCGCCAGATAAGGCAAAAGCACATGCTAAATATCCCAACACTAACTTAACATCAGTATGAGTGTTGTTCTGACGAAAGTTAGCTTTACTTACGAAAAACTAATCGTGTTAAAAATATATGTGCATTTGTTATTACTAATTAATTTAAAATTTTAACCAGTTCGTTAATAATATATATATAAACCTTTTGAATATAATCGTCACATGCATTTTTCAAATCTATCAAGTTTGAATTATTAACAATAATTGGCTCTTCCTTTTCGGTAGGTTTTTCTTCTGTTTTTGAGTTTTCCTCTAATGTTTTACGAGAAAAAAAGAGCTGAATGTTAAAACAAAGAAATAATGATAAAACAAATACTTTTGAAAGGGATTTCTAAAGTACCCTCAGTTGAAGGAACTAATGGTTTAGCTTCAGTTTCTTCTAATATCTGCCCCATTATCTGTCAGATAAAAAAGTAAAAAAAAAGCAATCATATATATTTTATTATTCTCAGTAGTTACGTGCTATGCATTTATTGGATATCTATGTATTACAAAAACGTTATGCAGGTTACAGGATTTAAAGTTTATTGCTATTAGAGAAATCAAAAAGGAAAAAGCCACTCTCTACCCACTAAGCCTTGCTTGAGTTCCTTTATTTTGAGGTTGTAAGAATTATACATTGTTTAAAAGACCATATTATTCCAATATTCGACTTTCCACATAAATGTATTTAAATTATATTTTAAATTATAAAAAATTAATTACAAATCTATTTTTCTGGTGACTTTTTAGTTTTATGTGCTGCATCTACTAATTTTTTCAAGACATCCTTCACATATTTCAATCGATTCACTTCCACGGAATTAGAAATTTTCAAAAAATTTGTGATTGTATAAGTCTTTAATTCATTTGCCTCATTAATATATGTTATAACATTCCCTTCCTCTGATATCACAATTTTCACGTGATCAAAAAAATTAACCTATATAATTCGAAGAGCACTTGAATTTTTTTGTAATGATAACTTGTTTGGAAATAATTTTAAAGACGACAAACCTGTACAATGCGATTGCTCAGCCTGAACATCATTGCGTGCGGTGTTCTTTTAAATTTCGTGAGAAATTCCATATTATGAGTTCGATCTTTATCAACGAAAGTATATGAATGTGTCCTTCTCGAAAGGGTTTCATTCATATAATTACGAAAGTTTCTCAACAAGTACATTTTCTTTTGCAAAACTTTAGGACAATCAGCTACTAAGTATGATTTACGTGTTGGAATTATTGAAGTTGAGGAGATTCGATTATTGTAAATGTATTCGAAATTACTAAACGGAGCATATGAACTTAGTCAATTATCATCGGAAAAAAAGAATAAAAGCATATTGTATTAAAAATTTACCTTCCATTAGGAGACATTATCAACGTTGTCTTATCGTTAAAATGTACACCCACAGAACTATCAGTCAATTGGTAGCCCATTCCGTATTTATTTGAATAATCAATCCATTTATTTACAAATACATTTGGCGTAGGTGTTACTTTAGTAGAACGTAGATTCGATTAAAATTTGAAATAAATAAAAACACACTTCAGTATTCAGATACGTACTATCGTTACATATTATATTTTTGGCATTTTCTTGATCAAGAATTGTCCTAAATGATATTTCAAGGGTATTTAATATTGCTTCAAGGACGCCAGTTCGTAATTTATCTAATAAATAAAAATATTTCATTAATACCTCTTTGAAACCATATAACAAAATCACGTACTAATTAAATGAGGTTGTCTTAAAATTACCTTGATGAGGAGTTGCATCATTCAACTTACCTGCTTTTTCTTCAGGCTTAACTGAAGATTTAGACTCAGCAGACCCGGGCTTCTGATTAGCGGATGATGGACCAGAGTTTTTAACATCAACTTTTTTAATTTTATCTTCAGATTTAACGATTGGCTTCTTCAGATCGGTTTTTTTAGCTGTTAACTTTATAATTCGTTTCTTCTGTTCAGTCTTATTAGAGGACGATGCTGTGGAATTTTTTTCATTATCATGTTTATTTTTATCTTCGGATTGAACGGTATGCTTTTTCAAAGCAGGCTCTATAGATTTTTTAGCGGGTAACTTTTTCCCTTGTCCAGCAATAGCCGTATTTAAGTTATTGCTAACTAGCGTCTTCAGTGGATGTCTGGTAGAGATTGAATAATTGGCAGGTTTGTTTAATTGAGGAACATCAAAACAAGGAGCAATATTTAATGCGGACACTGGAATCGTTGTTGGTGTCATCCCTAAACTAAAAAACTCATGATTCAAAATCTGTTGAATAGTCAGTCGTTTCTCTAAAAGTAAAATAAACAAATATATATAGGTGTGTTTTTATCTTAAAAAAAGAAGATACTTAAATGATGTTTAATTACCTGGTTCCAAAATTAGCATTAGATTAATCAATTTCTTTGCTTCCTTTGAGACAGTAATATGAGATGGGAATTCATATTTTAATTCTTTGATTCTCCTGTAAAATGCTTTAATTATTTTAATTGCAATTTAAAACAAAGAAAATAAATAATAAGTAAATAACACCCAACCTGTAAATTTGATCGACCTCCCCATCAGTCTGGAAAGGTGGTCTTCCGAATAGTAATGTGTACCTTTTTTTTTATAAAAATATAAATCTCGAATTCATTATTCGTTCTAATCCACTAAAAACTTACATGATAACGCCTAATGACCATATGTCAGCCTCAAAACTATGACCATTCGTTCGGTCAAATAAAACTTCGGGCGCGATATAATTTGGAGTACCACATATCGTCCTAACATAGTTAAAACGTAATTGTAATGAGAAAGTAAATTAAGTTTTTAAAGTAATTAATGAAATATACTTTTTCCTTTCACCCTCACATTCCAGCTGTGCCGCTAATCCAAAATCCCCAATTTTGATTTTCATGTCCTTTGAAAGAAACAAATTCGCCAACTTGAGATCACGATGAATCACATACTGACTTTGCATATATTCACACGCATTAAGAAGTTGGAGCATAAAATATCGAACTTCAGGTTCGGTCAAACGTTGCCGTTTTTTATTCATATAGGCTAATGTCTTTATATAATTGTTTATAAATTCATACTGCATTCTTATAATCCTTATGAAATTATCAAATAAACATATACCTTATTTTCACAAAGCTCCATCAATAAGTACACAAATGATTGATCTTCGCAACAATCGTAAAATTTAACAATATGAGGATGATCCAGCTTTTTATGTATAGCAATCTCGCTAAGAAGCTATAAGTGTTATAACATCATGTAATTAGCTTATTTTTAGACAAAGAAAAGCATCAGAATTTCTTAATTTTAAGGACTTACCTTGTCTTTATTTTTTGGATTTCTTAATGAAGCTTTGTCTACAACTTTAACGGCGAGTATCTTACCCTCTTTAGTCTCCACTTCATAACACCTTCCAAAACCACCCTATAGGCATTAGAACAAATTTACGCGTTTTTTTTTGCAATTAACAAGAAAGTTCAATTGAGTTATGTATTATATAAGATATACAAACCTCACCGAGCAGACCACGTCGCTTGTATTCATGGTCGGGTTTTTTTGGAGGCTTGATAATTAGAGGTGGCTCTCTCATAATACGATTGTTTCGGAACAAGTTTCTTTTTCCTCTTTCCATAATAATATATTATATAATTATCATGGAGAGTTCCTACGAGAAGAATTTAAGAGCTGCTCAACAACAAATCGAAGGGAATGATTGATATGTAAACAAAAAGACTGACGTCATACGTTTCAAATCTAGAAATTGCAGCCAATCAAAAAATTCCATAGATCGAATATCAATTGATCAGCTGCGGTTCATGACTTTTCAGGATTCTTATACCATTTTTGGAAAATGTTCACGTGTATATAAAAAAGTTTTTCAACTTTTTCAAACGTCGCCAATATTATAAATAAAGTCATAACCATGGGTAATACCAATGCACCAAGAAAAGTTCATAAATTGACAAAAAAACACCGAATAAGTAGAAAAGTACAAATAAATAATTTAAAATCATCAGGCAAATTACGACCCAGTGAAATTATGATTCATGGAAAACGTATATCTAAAAAGAAACAACAAAAAATTGATAGACGAATTAAATTTGTAAGTCTATAATTTTTATCTTGGAAAAAAAAAAAATTGAACATTATGATTTATTATTTTTATCGTATTTCAGCAACAAAAACACCGAATGGAAGGAGCAGAAATGATAATTGAGAAAATCCGTACAGGTGAACAAAATTAATTAAATAAAATAAAATTAATTTATTTTAAATTCTTAACAGTTAATTTAATTGATTTTGTTAATTTTTTTATAAGAAGATACAACTTCACAGATGCAAGTAGATCAATAATCATTCATGATATTAATATAAATTAATTTTTTATACATTGAATCTAAAATAAAGATTATGATTATTCTCTATTTACATACTTGTAAAGAACAATGATAATTTTATTGTAAACTTTAAAAATCGAAATGTGTTTTTAAGTAGATCATCGATGTGGTTTTCAGAATAAGTTCTTATCAAGAATTATTATATGAAGTTAGAAAACAGAAAAACAGTAGGCTCAGGTCTAGATCGAATTCTTAAGAACCAGTTTTGTTGTTGTTCATCTGAAATTTACGATCTCATATATTAAAACTTTTGTTCTGAGAATTATTTGCTCCGCATCAATAATAACTTCAGTCAATTCAATTAATCATGCGAATATTACAAATATTATCAAATTTTAAGAATATATTAAGTAATTAATGTGAAATTAAATACATTCTCTGCTTTCTTTATACAGCAAATCACTGTCCTCTCAATTACATGATAAATGCAACTTTATTTGACAAAATCCAATTAATAATATTACTATTTTATTCATATGGCAAAAAAAAAAATGTACATTCAAAAATGAAAATATTAAGTTTTCAACCTCATTGAACAGTATATATAAGTCTTGCATATTCCACATAAATGGCGAATTATACTATTGCGTATTGTTACTCTTACGCAAAAAATGATACTAAGTATCGTCCAATAAAGAATCCTTATAAGTCAGTTGTTGGTAATGTATCTAACTTGTTTAATTCCTGTAAAGAAAGATAATTTTCGTTTTCACTTACATATTTTTTTACTATATTATTAGGTGAATTCAATCCTAAATCTCTTTCTTCTTCCTTTACTCTAGAAATTTTATATTGATGTCTACGCCAATTAACATACAATTGTAAAATTTTATCTTCGGGTTCAAGACCATATTCTTCCATCCAATTATCATCTTTTTCACAGAATAATTTCCAACTATCTTCTGCATATTTACCCATACCAAATAAATTTTTTGGAGTTTTGAAATTTGAATTCAGCAAGTAAGCATATGAAAATTTTATTATTCTTTCGGCTCTTGAATTTCTAAATATCAATAATAATCATTATTATTGAATAACACTTATTTCAAAATAAATAGTTCAATAAAGATACTTAACTGTAGTCCTAATGGACGTAATAAATCAGCTAATGTATGAACATCAGCTAAAACAGCTTTTTGTGGAGTTGGATATTCTTCTAAAAATTTCCACATTATTGGTAATGCTTGTGAACCTCTTGTACGATTTAAAAACATTGTTGCTATTAATAACTTTTATGTGTAAATCGCGTCAGTTATAATATTAAGATAAGAATAAATAATAGTTATAATAAAATGATAACGTTACCTTCCATGGATCATAATATAAAGTTTCTTGTACAAGATTAAAAGGAGATGGCATAGGAATAAATTTTGGAACATAATTAATTTCGATTGATGCAGCTTTTTTAGCTTCTTCCATAGTTGGAAGTCTTGAACCGCCACCACTTTTAGATTCTTCAAAATTGAAGTTTAAATCTTTTTCTGAAGGATATTCAATCTCTGAAATAGATCCTTCTGTTGCTTCTGAGTCTACTTTTAAATCAATGTCTATATTGGATAAGTTATTCATGAAAAGAAAAGCTTCTTCTTCAGAAAATTTGATATGTTTAGCGGAGTAAGTACTAGCATTTTTTGTAAATCCCTTTTTGATTGATCTAAAATATTTGGATATTTTTCCTGTTCGTTTGATCGATGTAATATCTCGAATTTTTGACTTTGTTTCTGATTTATTTGTCAGTAAAGTATCAAATATATCTTTGGTTATATCTTTATTTAACGCGTCCTTGAATGGCGCGTTATTCTTATTTTCTCCATTTATGGAACTTATGGAACTATTAAAATAAGGACTTTTAGTTTCAGTTTTAACTATTTCACTTTTTCTTTTCATTTTATAAAATTTTAAATAATAAAAAAGAACAAACCAAAATTTATGACCAAATAATTCTTTTTGTAATTTTCGCGCCGGCCAGAGAAGATAGTTAAATCATGTGATATTCATATGATTTTATAAATCCTGTTATGCTGATAACTGATTGCTGCTGAATTCCCTTTTTTACTACTAAATTTAAAAATGTCACTTACTGTATTAGTAGGGACATATAATTTAAATCAAAGATTATTAGAAAAAGATCTAACAACATGGTTGTTCCCTCCAACATCACAATCCCTACCAGAAAAACCCGATATAATTGCAATAGGATTTCAAGAATTTAACGAATATCCAAATGCATTTTTAAATATTAATAATAAAAATAGAATAAAACATTGTGAGGAAATGATTGAAAAAGCAATACTTAATTATACAAATGAACAATATTTTAAAATAAGTAGTAGTATATTCAATGGGTTAGCATTAGTAATTTATGTAAGAAATGAAGAAATTAAAAATGAGATAAAGAGTATAGAAGTAGAACAGGTTGGAGTTGGACCAATTTGGGCTGGTAACAAGGGAGCGATTGTAGCTCGATTAAATATAAATGATACAATATCAGTCTGTTTTATATGTGCACATTTAGCACCACATTCACATAATGTAGTGGAAAGGAATAAGAATTTTAAGAGTATTATTGAGAGAGTAATATTTATTGATAAAAGTACAATATATGATAATGATTACGTATTTCTTTTTGGAGATTTAAACTATCGTATAGAGATAAAAGCAGAAAAAAAAGAACATTTAATGAATCTATTAAATACAAATGAATATCAAACGGTAATAAAACGTGACCAATTAAATATTGAAAAAAGAAAAGGGCAGGCGTTTAATGGATTTCAAGAAGGTGAAATAAAATTTCCTCCTACTTACAAATATTATGTTGGTAGTACAGAGTTTAATTCTTCAAAAAGGATTCCTGGATGGTGCGATAGAATATTATATTTTTCTAGCCGTATCGAATCAATTAAATTGAATCATTATACATCTAATAATGATTATATTACATCAGATCATAAACCAGTTTCTGCTTTATTCACGATTAATTACGAATCTCTTGATTATTATAATAATAATAATAAAATTAATTTTTTTACTAACTATAATTTTAAGATTGATAAATGGAGATTTATGAAAAAAGTAGTTGGAAATTTTGTTATTAAAATATTTGGATCATTATGGATGTTATTTTGGACAAAATGGACAAAAATAATTGTTGCATCAACTGGTATTTTCATTGGTTGGTACTTTATTTATTCATAAATATATTATTACATGATTAATTTAGTGAACTTCTACCGTAATATTCTCATTTAATATTCCTATTTAATATTCCTATTTAATATTCCCATTTAATATTCCCATTTAATATTCCCATTTAATATTCCCGATTGATATTCCCATCTAATATTATATTCCCATTTAATATTCCCATTATTTAATATCCCACTCATTTTATATCCTATTTAATCCCCGTTTAAGACAACATGAGGAACGTATTGATATTCTACTAAGGATAGATTTTTTTCTAAATTAATATTATTAATACTATTCTCGTTATTATTTTCAATTGTAATTTCTGCACTGGTATTTTGATCAACTACTATTCTCATAAATCCACGATACATTTCTACTCTTGCATTATGAATATTTACTGTAGTATTTGGTTGCAATAAATTTATTTGATCTATTTATATTTTGATAAAAAAAAAATAAACATAAATATAATATTTGGATGTTTGAAACTATTCAAGTATGATTTTTTTATATAACTACCGTTCATTGCTTTCATGATTATACATCCTGTCGAATCTCCAATTAAAATTTCTGCTACTTTAATTTTAGTCCAAGCTACGTAAAATTAAAAAAAATATTAACATAATTTTTTAACAATAAAAGAATTTCTTTCATTTCTTTCTTAACACTAACTGGGATAATCATCTACTTCTCCTATTATAATTTGTGCTATTACTTTTACTTTTAAATTTACTTGATGTTGATCTGGTTTTAAATCTGCTACTGGAATATCTATCATAAATCAAAAATTCAATTAAGTAAAAAAAAAATGTGTTTAAAAAAAATATATATATATATTACGAACATGATATCGGACCCATTTTGTTTTTTGCCAATATGATACTGATAGGTTATATTTATATATGTTTGTTTATGATGAGATCTACATTCCTACATTCTGATCATGTAACGGTGCATCATCATACATTTTTTTTTTTATTAAAAAAGATTATTCGAAAAGATTAAAGATATTTAATTAATTTTAATAATGAATTTTGCGATTGCTTCTAGGATACTTGCTAGAAGGTATCTGAATACTAGTTCTGTATTGAAAACTAGTACATCATTTATAAAAGGTGTAAAAATACCTTTTCCTGTTGCGTTAACGAAAAGACCTTTTCATGCCAGTGCTTTTACTACTTCCGATCAATTATTTCTGGTAAGATTTTTAACAATTTAAAGTTTTTTTTTAAAATAATATTAATATCGGTTCACCATTCCTGATTTTAAATAGCACCGAGATACATCGGAAAATAACTTGTCGATTCCATTCGAATTTACAGAAGATAGTTTAAAAAGAGCGAAAGATATTATATCACGTTATCCACCACAATATAAAAAAGCTGCTGTTATACCTTTATTAGATTTAGGTCAACGTCAATTAGGTTGGACGAGTATCTCTGTTATGAATGCTGTAGCTAAATTATTAGAAATGCCTCCTATGCGTGTTTATGAAGTTGCCACTTTTTATACTATGTTTAATCGGTATGTATATAAATATATATATATTTCTATTAATTTTATTAAAACTAAATTCTAAATTTATCTTAAATAGAAGTCCAGTCGGAAAATATTTTTTACAACTTTGTACAACGACACCATGTCAATTATGTGGGTCAACAGAAATTTTAGAAACAATTAAAAATCATTTAAAAATTAAACCGGGCGAAACAACTCCCGACAAATTATTTACTTTAGTAGAAGTTGAATGTGCTGGTGCCTGTGTTAATGCTCCCGTATTGACTATTAACGATGATTATTATGTAAGTACTACTGTTCTATTAAAGCAATTTTTTTTTGTTTTAAATCATATATAAATTATATATTAAATGTTTTAATCGTAAATTTAGGAGGATTTAACACCAGATACAACTATAAGAATATTAGAATCATTAAAACAAGGTGAAATACCAAAACATGGACCACAGTCTGGTCGTATTACTTGTGAACCTAAATCTGGTCTTACTACCTTAACAAGTAAACCATATGGCCCTGGTGAATTTGTTAGATCTGATTTGTAAATTAATTAAACTGTATATAAAAATTTTATTTAAATATATATCTTAAAATATCTCTAATATGAAAATTACAATTTTTCTATAATGAAATATTCTAATAATAATAATTCCTTGGTATGATATGCATATTTTATAAAAAAAATTCTCTATTAAATCTAATACTTTTAATATAAAAAAATACATTCTTCCTACCTATAATGATTTTTTAATCAATCACTTTAACTACTTTCGGTCAATTCAATAACTTGAGCACCTTCATCAACGATATCTAACGTTTTTACAATCACTTGAGTGTCTTTTTTTCTTTTTAAAACTTCTGTTATTCTATCAGCAATTAAATCAAAATTATTAACTGCTAAAGCTAAAATCGTTGGTCCTGCCCCACTTAAACATATGCCTAAAAATCCTGGAACTGTTTTTGGATTTACACTCGATAAAATTTCTGATAATCCAGGAATCTTTAAAAAATACATTGAAAAAAAAAGATCAAATCAGTACAAAATTAAGTCTCGATATATATTATATTTTGCATATTATTAACTTAATATAAGCTGAAATATAAAATTAATATAATTACTTACCAATTCCATACGGTATGGTTGATGTATTTTATCTTGCATCGCTTGAAATATCAAATCAGCATCTGGAGGTGACTGCGAAAGAGCAGTTGTTAAAACAGCTAATCGCTGTAAATTAAATACCTAAAAAGGATTATAATGAAAAGTTTTTAGTAAAAGATCATACAGATCATACTTTAATTATCAATATAAAGAGATTAAAGCATACCACATCTTGTCTTTCGTAAGTATTTGGCAATACACTTCTAGCAGTAGCAGTAGCAACTTCGAATTGAGGAATAATAGTAATAGCTTTAATTTCTTTAGCCCATTTTAATCTAATATAATGACCTATCCCATTCGGTACTGTTAGTTCTTTTTGTTTAACTGCTTGCTCATTAGCAGTTATTCCATCTTCAAGAGTTTCCGAATGAGGAATAGCAGGAGCTTCGATGTCTTTAGAATCCAATTCGCGTAAATAAGATGCAACAAACCCACCCATTAAAGCAGCAGTAACATTATCGGGATGTCTTTCAATCATTAAACAATGATCTAATAATCTATCTTTAGTTAATTTGAGATCTCCTGCTATATCTCCTAAAATCACACCAGCAACTACAGCTGCTCCACTACTACCTAAACCTCTACCAAATGGAATTTCATTATTAATATTTATGATCATTGGCGAAGGAAATCCATTTATATTATGTGAAGCTAGTACGAATAACGCTGTTTTAGTGATTAAATTTTGGTTAATTGATAATGGCACATGTGAGCTACCTTCTCCACTATAAGCTAATACTATATGTTCATTAAAATTCGGTAAATTCGAATGTTTTGGTAGAATTTTAACGGTTAAGGTTAAATATAATGACAATGTAACTCCAAGTACATCAAAACCTGGTCCTATATTTGACGAGGAACAAGGAACTCTTATTTGTAATATTTTACTTGGAGAAGACATAATTATTAAAGAAGGAAAATTCAATTTGAGATGGATTTTTTTTTCAGATCCAGATTTTTATCCAGATTTTTATACTTACTGTATTGTGTAATATGATTAGATTAGATAAAAACGTGTTCGATTTTTTAGTTTCGATTTATGGTAATGACGTTCAACATTATGTACATTATGTAATATTTGATCAATTTTTTACGAAGTTGGCGTTCTTTCATAGCATTTTAAAAATTATAAAAATTATTCTTCACCATCCTCAATTACGATATTCAATACATTAAATAAAATTTACACGTTTTAATTCCAAAGAAGAAACGAAAGAATGGGTGAGGTATTTACAATTTTTATTGTGAATATCGTGTAATTTGTGGTTTCTTTTATAATACTTGACGCTTTTAAATAAATATATATATTGTCTTAAAGGAATTACAAACTTATTTTAATAAGTTATTAACTAGGCAAGTTTTTCTCGTATTATCTTTATTTTTTCCATTTGAAAATTTTTTTAACAAAATTATTCTCTTATTTCAATAGAATAGACGGTTTGAAAGCTGTAACCGTCACGGACGGAGATGGCGTTATATTAATAAAATGTGCTTGTTGTTCCTTTCCTCTATTATTTTTTCTTACAAAACTATAACAAATAACCTTTTTTTTAAAATTTAAATAGCTGTATCAAATGATGTATCACCGAGAGTTCTTGAACCAGCGTTATCAACAACATTTTCTGTAGTAAGTGATCAGGTAAGGATTTATTTATTATAGCATATTCTTTAATAAGTCAGAAGCAAATTTAATTTACTTTTTCTTAATTATCTTTAAGGCATCAAAATTAGGTTTGAAGAAGAATAAATCAATAGTGAGTTTATTTGGCCTTTTTCAAATTGTACAATTTAATCATACGCCTTTGATAACTACTTTGGTAGCTGATTCGGGGTCTAATACTGGTGAGAAGATTGTTTTGTATATAAAATTCTTTTTTGTTTTTTTTTTAAAAAAAAAAAAATATTTTAATAAAATTAAATTAAATTCTGTTTCGAACGGACTATAATCATATTAAGGAGTATTATTGGATCTTGGAAATGAACTAAAAGAAGTCACAGATATAATTGCTTCGGCATTATCAGAAAGACAGGTCATTGTTTAAAGTAATTTATGTATTAACAGCTAGTTAAATTTTACAAATTACATACGGGATAAACTTTTATATATATACAATGTATTATATATGTAAACAATACCCCTTTTATTTATTATTTACTAGGAACAAATCAATAAATTGCATTAATAATTTTTATACTATTAAAGTTCAAAATTTACCCTTTTATTTAAAGATTTTTTTGCTTGATAATAATCCATATGAGTGTTCTAAAAAAAACAAAACTAGTAATCACTATAGCAATAAGTTTTAAACCAGTTTACTTACATTATGAAAGATATCCGACCCAAGTGTAGATCTAAGATTGTGTTACAATGATAACTGATTTCTATATAAAGATCATCCACAACTTCATTCAATCTTAGTATAAAATTTTACTTTTTTGTAATAATTATTTGATTTCAAGTAGCAAAAAAATTAAAAAATATAAACAATTCAAAACTATTCTAAATAAAAAGATCAAAACCTCGCGAAATTTTTATTTATCATTTTCTATACCTAGGCTAGTCTCTTAATAATCGGAAGCGCTCACATGAATGAAATTCGATGTACATAAGTAAAATCTTGGTATAACAGAGTTATATAATATATTAAATTTGTTCTTGATATATCAGATTTCTTGATATATCGGATGACTTTAAAAAATATTACTAATGGAACGGGAATTGACCGGAGTGTGATTTTTTTAAACGCGATAAAACATTGTGATCTTTTTATTTATCATAAACTTTACATATGTTTTTAATATCGTGAATTTAATATTTCAATTGCCCCGAAAATTTGAAAATACATAATGGAATATGTCATTTTCTATTTATTCAAAGAATGAAAATTTTTTAATCCTAAAATAAAATAAATTAAAATAAATTAATTAAGAATACATAATAAAAGAAATATATAATGTTAATATGAGATCTACTTACCATACGAGTTTTGAGAGTACGAGTGATTACCCTCTCAGGAGTTCTATGAATAAAAAATTACTTTAGTATTCATGACTTCAAAATTACTCTATTGTTTTAAATACATACACTACATGGACAACAGCACCCCAACCAGCCAAACTATCCCTATCAACAGCATTCAATAAAGATTGCGAAATAGTTTCAAATAAATCTTCAGGTTCTAAATCAGGTTCCCATAAAGATTCGCATACTCCAAATAAACTATCTGTAGTTGATCCACCTACTACAAAATCTTTTGCAAAGTTAATACACCCTATCAAGTCCATTCCACAAATAAATGGTTGATTATTTTTGTCAAGTCCGGCAATTATTGGCTCGACAAAATATGGACCAAACCTATTTTAAAATAAGAGAAAGTTAACCTCTTTGATATTTAAAAATATTAAGAATTTTTGGATGGCTACCTTCTTTCGTACAATGTTGAGGATACCATATGTGCTAATGTACGTGGTTCAATTTCGCGTTCTTCACTTAATTTATACATATTGATTTTAAAACGAAATCTTTCTGATCTATTAAAAGTAAAAAAAAATATGTTTTTATATAAATATATTACTAAGAAATTGAAACGTAATGAACTGAAATGTGAATATTATTTACAAAGTTCGAATATCAGTAGCTAGACCAGGAAGTCCTATAAAAGTTTTATCTGTTGCGGGAAATACTTTTGGAAATTCAGTTGACACAGTCATCAATTGAACACCAAGGCGTTTATCAGATCCAATAGCAACACAATTCTTTCCGGCCATTGCGACTATCGCCCCACCATTATATTCCATAATCGACTATAATATACAAAATAGTACATTTCGTTAAAAAGAAAGTCCAGCTTATATTTAAAGTTTTAATAGAATCATTTACCATGGTGACTAAAATATTTCAAAAAGAACAGGTTAATAGGTTAAGTTATAGTGCAAATGCAAATGTCAAAAAAAAAAATCTTTGATATGCATATCAGTACTACGTATTTGATCTGTCTCTTATACACATCTAGATGTGTATAAGAGACAAGTACTACGTATATGGATTACGTTTTTTTTTTCAGATAGCAATTTATCTTCACTTTTTTTGATCTTAAATACAATTAATACAATGGAATATATTCCAAGTATTTATATAATTGTTATTCAATTTCTTTTTATTTTATTATTAAACGTTATGGTTAAATAGATTTGTTACAATTTAGTTCTTACTGAGCGCGAGCGCTTAGCTGAAGATATTTTAACAAACAAGCAATTGGTAATTTAAAATGTGCTTCATTTTAAACTTAGTTACAATTGCCTAATTACAAATTTTTTGTTCAAGGCTATAGATTATGATAGAACAAGAAACACTAATAGAGAAGCGTTAGCTAAACTTAAAAAAGAACCTTTAAATTCTCAAAAAAATGTATGGGTAAATCTGGGAGACTTCTTTGTTAAGCTGGAAAAAGATAATGTAAAAACATATATAGAAAAAGGTAAAAGGTTATTATGCTCTTTTTTTACAATTCTTTTGTAGCATAATCTGAATATAACGAATAATTCTGTCTTGTGAAATATAAATAGATCAAAAGAACCTTGAAAAAGAAATTTCTTCATTAAGAGATACAATAAAACAAAAAACTACGGAATTAGAAAAATTAGAAACTGGCGAAATTAAAAAAATGAAAGGATTCGAATTACGTGGAATTACTGCTAATGATTTATATAATATCACTGGTGTTAATAAAGAATTTGAATTTGATGAATAATTACTTTAATTACTTGTTACTGTATCAGCAAAACCAGGCTATCAAGGGGGAATTTATCATGCTTTAATCAAAGACTATAATTTTAATCCACTGGTTTATCATTTTTTTGTTTTGTTGTTGGATTAATTAAATTTATTAATAATTTAGTGAATAAACTATCATTTGATATTTGACAATATTCAAAAATGAAATATACATTATGTGCATTACTAAAATTCATTTTACCGATTCCTTTCTAATTTCTTCAACATTCCAATTAAACTTTTTCCATTTTTTTCGCAATTCTGTATTAGATGCTGTTCAAATTCCTCACGAATATTTTTTAATTGCTGTGTAATTGGCATTTGACCATCTTTCGTCACCAATAAAGGATTCAACAACAAATCAAATAATTTTTGCCAAAGCTCTCCTTGCCAATATCGTTTAAATGAAAGTATTGGTTTATATTTCTTCACTGCCATTGTCGCTGGTCCAGATATAAAAGTATTTGTTTCTACTAATACTGGAGTAATTTGCATATATCGATTATGCAGCATGCAGTGTACTATACCAGCCAATCCATAATAATCAGCCTGCCATTTCCAAGGCCTACCTTCACGCATTTCAACGCAATCTTGATCATCAGTCACCCACTCAGCGATAAATTTCATATCGTCTGGAAATAAAGTCACATCAATAGAACGCCCAAAATCAATTATTTTGATTCCTTTCTTTGACCATCCATTCGCACCGGATGGATCATATTGTATATCCCACTCTTCTACCGGTTCTAATCTCAACAGGCAGTTATCAGCTTTGATATCACCGTGTATTATTCCTGCTTCGTGAATCGACTCAATTGTTTTCAATAGTTCTATTGTAAAGAAAAATACCAAAAGTTCGTCTAACTGTGTATTCTCCCTTTTAGCTCGATTAACGGCATCCAAAATCGTTCCTTGATGAACAAATTCCATCACCATATAACTTTCATTCTTGTAATAATACAATGAATGTACAGAAATAATAGAATCAATAGTTGGGGAGTTGATTCTTTCTTGCAGTTTACGTATAATGTAAAACTCCAAGGCACTTGAAGGTGTTTCACTCTTTAATGCACGTGATGATTTCTTTTCGTTTTGGTTAACTGCATAATCTTCTGTGTCCAAAACGAGATAGACTTTGCCAAATCCGCCTTCTCCGATTTTTTGGCGTATAAGAAATGAATCATTAAAGAATGTAACGGGTTCTTCAATGTTTACTGAAACATTTGTACATCGTCGGCCTTGTGTGTCCCAGCAACGTGCAAGTTTCTCTATTTTTGATCCATTATTGCAAGTCTGTTTTCGAGCGTCATAAAATCCTTTATAATGATTTAATGGAGGTTGTAAAGCGGCTAAAATTTGTTCAATAACTTTGGGATCAATTGGATTACATGGATTCGAAAGCTTTGGAAAAGCAGGAGGTTCTAGCATGTTCGATTCGTGATCTACTGCTGTTAATTTCATTGGAGATGCCAAATCAAGCTTAATATCATCGACTCTGGGTGTATTTATAAAAGATCTTACATTCATAATATTAAATTCTTCGGATGTATAAAATGGAGTAGTCTTATACTCACGACTTGTTTCTTGTATTGGCGTCATAGGGTCAAAGAACTTCGCTTTATTTTCACGGTTAATTAAATCTAGTGATGTACTGTTTACATCATTTTCTTGATCATTTACCTTACATCCGTTCGTCCTTGAAGGGGTTTGATGATAACCAGATTGTGTTGTTTGATATACATTGGAATTTGAAGTCTTCTTTTCATCATCATCATCATTATTTTGGAGGTCTTTTAACGGTTGAGTAAAAGTAAACATTTCTATTATGTCTGATAAAGCAGCCCTTGTACATATCGTGGGGGATGGCTTTTTCTCAATTTTTTCTATATATGAAGCTAAGATTTGCCGTAAGAAATTGGATTAGAAACATATCAATTGCAAAGAGTAAATAATTTAAAACCTACGTATTGGACTTGTCTCGTGAATTGGTACACTGAATTCCGTAACCTTACTTTCTCTTTTTCCTAACTTCTCTTCGACCTTTTCACTGTAATTACTTTCAAGATACCCCAAAGTTTTAGCTCTCTTTTCTTCAAAGGAAATTTCTTCGCCATTTTCACCATAAAAATTATCGATTTTTACACAACATTTTTCTTTCGGCCCTAATTCGTATCGTTTAGCTTGTTTTTTCTCTTGAGAAACCGAAGATGTAGGCTGTGGTTTGTTACTATTTTCATTCTGCGAAAACTGACTTGACTTTGTTTGAGCTATATCCGAAGATATTTCATGTTTATTCTGTATATCCACTAACTTTTTAAGAGCTTCCGTCAAACAATTGTTTTTATTATTCAATGACTGTATTTCAACTTGTTCAGTAGCTTGACGAATATTTGTTGACGAATTTGAACTACATTCAATTGACTAAAAAAAAACCAGTATAAACGTAAAATTAACAGAACAAGGTATTGACGTATGATTTTTCTGTATACCTTATCGTGATAAATTTCAAGCTTGGCCGCCATCGGGGCGTGAACCTTTTTATTTTGAGGCAAAGTTACGCCTTTCCATTGTTCTGCTTCTTGAATATCTTCTTTTTTCCTAGACAAATAAGTTCCGTAACTATTCCATATTGAAGTTTTACTATTTGTGGATGACAAAGCAGAATTCCCTATTTCGCCATTAGGATCGTAGAAGATATTTAATTTTTCATTGTTGTCGGAAGTGCTAATTTGTGAACTTGCATTTTCAATGTCGGAGACAGTATATGAAGTAGGGTTCCTTTGATGGAAAACATTCATTGGCTGTGATCGGGTAGAAGATGAGGAAGATTTAGAGCCAAGAATTGTTCGTGAATTTAGATTCAATTGTTGCGGTATTGGTGGTGTTGGTATTGCTACAGTATTAGTGTTAAGGTTTACATCCATTAACGTCATACGCGTTAAAAATTGTTTGTAGCGTTTATTCAGACGTTCAAGCGGTTGTGCTCCACGGCTTATTCCCGTTTCATAGATTTCGTTTGCTTCTTTATAGCTTTCATTTTTATTAATATTTTTAGTCTTTATCAATTTTTAAATTATAAAGAACAATATCTTACCATTTCATCGTTTCCATTATCTCAGCATATTCTTCATAAAAAGTGGCCAGGTCTAAGCCAATTCCATTAGATTTCAAGAATGCGAAAAGTTCTTTATGTTTTCCAACATGTTTCGAATATTGTAGCCAGCATCTTAAATATCTAGGATCGTTTTTATATCGAGCATCATTTACAAACTTATTTGATGCGATCTCCAGAAGTTGACATACTCTTGAATGAGGACCAAATGCTTGCGGATAATTCTCCATTGTCCATTTTATGTAACGATCATACACGTCAAAGGGATCATCAAGTTCATCAAGATTTTCAAGCTCTGCATTAAACTTATTATTGCCAACTTGAAGTTCTGCATTACGCGTGGAAGGTTCACTTGAAAATATCTGAGATAAGGTAGCGGCACTTCTACCTTGCTTTATTGGTAATATATTCTCTTTTTGATGTTCAAATGAAGAGAACTCTGGTATAAGTTTTTGTTCATTTGATATATATTCTTTACTATTAACCGGCTCGGGTTGGGTTGTGCTAACAATTTGTTTTCGGTCCATTCTATACTATTCAAAGAAGGGTTTTGACAAAAGATATTAGATATTAATATTTTAATATGTGAATATGTGAATAATAAGAATATTTTGGTTGTATATTACGTCACGCGTTGTTTTAAGCCAAGCCACACCGATGACAAATAGTGACGTGACGAATATGAATCAGCTGTACCACATTAATTAGTCAATCAAAAGGAAAGAGACATAAGGTCGTTCTAATCGTTTTAATTCCTGAAAATTTAATTTCAAAAAATGTAAGTTATGAGTTTATGAGTTTACAACTGTATGGTATTGATTTTATTATTGATAATTTAATGTTTTTCTTTACAGGTCAGAGTACTGGGTATCACAACAAAAGCATTGGTGCCAATATTGCCGCATTTATATTGCGGACAATAAGCCCGTAAGAATTGTTTCGATGTAAGATTTATTCTATAATATTTTAATTATTTATATATTTCATATTTTTTAGAGCCGTACAATGCATGAACAAGGCAAAAAACATAAAGAAAATGTTGAAAAATTTTTACGTAATATTCGTCGTAAAGATCATGAAAATCGCAAAGAAGAAGAAAAAACTAGACGAGAATTAGAAAGAATTGAAAGGGTAGTAATTTTTCAATCTTTGCCTTTCCTCGAGAATAATATATTAACATTAAAAATTTTTTCTATGATTAGGCAGCAATGAAACAATATAAAAAAGATATCATACTTGAAGTTCCGGGAGCTTCAATTGCTTCATTAAAATCTACTAGTAATACAAATGCTCCGCCCGTTATAAGTTCATTCAGTGAACATGATGTTATATATGCAGGTTCAACGACAAATTATACCGAGTTAGCAGAATTAAGTAAAAGTGGTAAAAGTGCTGATGGGACTGAAGCTGTTATAGGAGAGTGGAGACCCGTAACTCCCCCACCTGCTCCTCCACCTGCTCCTCCAGTAAACAATGCATTAGAGACCGATCAAGGAAACAATACATCAACATCTCAAGAAGCAATTCTTCAAGACGATGAGGAAGATGAAGATCCAGATGATTTGAGGAATTTTAAAGTAGTCGAAAAAACATTTCCATTGGATGATCAAATACCCGAAGACATTTTAAAGGATAATGATTCGGGTAAAGTTACTTTTAAGAAAAGAAAGCTTGCAAGCCAATCTAATACAAGAAATATTAGGAAAAAAAAATGTTGATTATAGTGTAATTTATTATTTACTATTTACATGATTAACAAAATTTAATTAAATTTTCATAATTTAATTTTTTTTTAAGATAATATATTAAATTTAATAAATCATGAAAAGAATCCCTTTATTATAGCAAGAACTTTCTTTTCAACAAAAGAAAGCATCATTTGATCTGTGCTTGGGGGTAAATTGATGCTGACAAAGAATTGTTTATTAAACTTAGTAGCTAAACGAAAAATAGTTTAGTATCTCAAAAAATATAAATAATAAATAAGATTTAATTTTTAATAATTATTACCAAGTCTTTGTCCAAGCTGCTTAGAAGTTTCATCCACGTCATTTGATAGTACAGTTGTTCCCGATGACGACGAAGTAGAACTATTATTCCGTAAAGGTGAAGGCATGGCAATCGCCAAATTTCCTAGTATTTCGTTTCCTTCGGAACCAATCCATATAAACACGGAATCTTGAAGGATTGTCAGTTGAAAATGTATTTGTTGTGAAAGAAATAAATGACTATAAGTATGAACTTGAAAACGTGGAGTAGTAGCTTCAGATAGCATTTCTTAAATCTAGATAAAGAAATGAGGAAAGTTTATCTTTCACTCCACGTGATTTTTGACGAAATTACAAATTTAGTGTAGTCACGTGAACTCACCTTTTAGGTAATTGCGTCACAACACAAACGCGTTTTTTTAATTTCAAAATACAAAATACGAAATATCAAATATCCAGAACGTATCATTCCTTATATTATAAACGATTGAACATGCCTATTACATCTTTTGATACACCAAAACGTCGTCATTCATTCGGATCTTCGTTAAAAAATGTCAAAGATACGAATATTCCCTTGAATGACGACGCTTCTGAAATCCGGTCTCGTAGAAAATCTGCTGCAAACTCAATGCGGAGCCCAACAAATTTTTTGGGAAGTAATGTTTCTCCTGTTAGAGCCTTCGAAAGAAACGCGCCTAGACCTTTGGAAGTCGTCGCTCCCATGCCTATAATACCCACCGAACAAATGTATATCAATTTTGAGGAATGGATGAAACTGGCAACGGATAATGTATGTTATCTTTATATCATTTCGCGTAAATTTATCTGACACAGAAATTTTTTTACTAGAAAATCAATGCTAGCAATAGCTGGAAGCTTGCTTTAATTGACTACTTTCATGAAATGTCATTATTAAAAGAGGGAGATTCAATAAATTTTCAAAAGGCTTCATGTACTTTGGATGGATGCGTAAAGATCTATACGTTACGTGTTGATTCTGTCGCAACTGAAACAGGGAAACTTTTGAGTGGATTAGCCAGTAACTCCAGTTAGTCATTTTTTTTTGCATCTTTAATTTAAATCTTAAAATTTCTTAATTGCTCATAAATTTTGAAGGGGATAACAATGAAGACGACGATAGAGATAGTGAAGATGCTGATCCTGAAAGGCATACTCGTAAAAGGGTTAATAATAATATAATATAAGTAGCTATAAAATTAAATATAACATATTAATAATTTGAAATATTTTTATCTGTAGAATACAAGATCGGAAACGACACTGGTCAAAGATTATAATTCATTAACTATAAAGAAATTTGACTTGGAATTTTCAATTGATCCTCTTTTTAAAAAGACTTCTGCAGATTTTGATGAAGGTGGTGCACAGGGTTTATTGTTAAATCATTTGTCAGTTGATACGGATGGTAAAATAATATTTGATTCAAGCGATGCTATACCGGATGAGGATAACGACAATAGAATAGATACAGAAGACAATGAACCAAAAATTGAAATTTTCAAACTTCGCTGTAAGTATATATTTAATTATTCGAGCAATAAGTCATTAATCAGGTAATATTATTAACGAATTACACTTTATAGCAACAAGGTATATCTTTGGACTTCATCAAATATTTAATAAGGAGATTTGTCCTTCATTGAGAAATTTCAAATTTTCAGGAGATAATGTACTGGACTTTGCTTATGCTTCGACTGAATCGACTGAAACTGAAGGCGTTAATTATCCTGACTTATTTGTAAATGACAATGACAACGACTATGACGATGCCAATATCAATATTAATGATATCTTAGGTGATAACTTAGATACAAACAATGATGTCTCGGAAGTATTCGATGAAGAAAACATAAATCCAAATGTACGATTAACGGAAAAGGATTATGTTATGGCCATGATCAGTAACGAAAACGAATTGTTTTCTTACTTCGACTCTGCATTTTTGCGTAATTGGGCTGGTCCTGAACACTGGAAGTTAAAGAAAGTTAATAAAAGTAATTAAATTTCCTAAGTTACTATTCTTTTTTTAGTGAGACTAAAATAACTTTGTTTCTTTTAAAGGGCCTACAGAAATGGAGGGAGGGACAAGAGAAAAGAAGAAGAAAGAACCAGTTTCTATTAATTTTATTGATTCGGAAGATTTGGATGAGCGAATCATTTTTTCTTCTGGGGGAAGTATAATAAATGCGCCTAAATTAGCAGAGAGAGTATCACATAGTCATCTACTTCCTGAGGATATGCATTTTTCGTCTAAAAATTTACTTAACTTATTCTTAAAACCTCAATTCATGGTAATTATTAATCTACTTACTTATTATGTTTCCCAATAATTTTAAGATATGATATACGCTTTGCTCTTTATCGTAGTTAAACTCGAAACGTCGATATGAAGCGCAACTTGACGATAGTAAGCACTTTTTGTATAAATTATTTGGTATAAATTTAATAAATTAATAAAATTTTTACGTTTATTATGTAGGGAATTTCTGGGCTGACAAAACTAATTATTCTAATGATCCAGTAGAAACGTCTTTTCCAGATTTTAGTAAGTACTATTGTTCGTTTAAAAAAATAAAAAAATAAAAAAGATAATTTCCTAATCATTTAACCGATAAAATTTAGCGAATTATATGGGAGGAGACACCTTTTATAATGATGAATATGACGACCAATTAGAAGAAGGTGAATTTGGAGATAATTTGGTAGCTCAGACAAAGAGGAATAAACCTGAGTTTATCAAATACGCAAAGACAGCGAAAAGGATCGATGTTAAAAAATTGAAAGAAAACATATGGAAAACATTAACCGACTGTACTGACTGTACTGACTGTGTAAGTAGATTTTCAATTATAATTATTAATGTGATTGGATTTAACAAATCTCCAAATTTTATAGCCCCAAGAAAATGAAATGAGATTATCAAAAAGACTTTCAATCGAAAATAAATCAAAAGAACTGAAATTTACAAGAGTAATTAACAATCTTAAAAAGATCTACCCTCAAAAAAAAATGAAAGATATTTCAGTGTCGTTTTGTTTTATATGTTTATTACATCTAGCAAACGAGAAGGGTCTTAATATAACAAGTAATGATCAATTATCGGAGCTATGTATTGATTTGATTATGTAATATATCAATTACAATAATAAGCAAAAATAAACAAAATATAAATCACATGATTTAAATATTATATATTGTGCATGGATTGTTAATAGTTCTTTACATTTAATAAGTAATGCGATGGGAATTTTAAGTGGTTCTCGTAAGTTAGAAGAACTTTTTACTAACACCGATGCTCTTCCAACCGAGTCTTCAAAAGCTCAGGTATTTTCAACATAAAGGATTTTGTTTGACACTCGCGACTATAGTTTAAGTTTATTTAATAATTTATACGCGATATTAGACTGATACTGAGGTATCAGTATACGAATTGTTCAAAGATGCAAGAGACAAGAAATTGATAAACACGTAAGTATTGTTAAAATATTTCATTTTGAATTTACGTTTAACCACACTTTTTAATTATTATATTGTAGAATTAAGCTTAACAGAGGATCTCATATTAAATATGTAAAAGACGGTCTAAAAGGATTGCCTAGTTATCTTGTGGCATTGGATGCTAGTAAACCTTGGTTATGTTTTTGGATGTTATATTCTCTGGATATACTTGGTGATGAATTATCTCAAGATTTAGTTAAAAAGTACCATATCTTAGTATTTACATTTTGATGACTTTGTTGAAGAGATAATTCGCGTCACGAATGTATTTTATTTATTATTTTTATTCCTGTAGAGGTATTTCGACTATTACTAAGTTACAAAATCCCACCGGTGGGTTTGGAGGAGGTCCGGGTCAGATATCACATGCCGCTGCCACATATGCAGCTGTAAACGCGTTGGCGACTATAGGAACCAAAGAAGCTTATGATTTAATCGACAGGTCGAAATTTTTGAAAATCAAAAATAAGTTTACATTTAGTTTATAATTTTAAATTTTTTATTATTTATTATGTTATATAGGGAAACCCTATATAATTGGTTTCTTAAGTTGAAAAGGGAAGATGGATCGTTCGTTATGCATGAGGGAGGTGAAGTTGATGTGCGGTAAGAAATTAGCATTTTATATATTTAAAAACGTTAGTTTATTATTAATTTATAGTATTTACTAGTGGGGCATATTGTGTCTTATCTGCGGCCACGCTAACAAACTTGGTTACGCCAGAGCTGACGGCAGGAACTGCTGAATGGATTAAACGGTATCACAGTTTAAAGATGTCTAAAGGTTATTGAAGTGATCCTCTAATCCTTTAATTTTCGATTAGATGTCAAAATTATGATGGAGGAATTGGAGGTGAACCAGGAATTGAAGGACATGGCGGATACACGTTTTGTGGCCTTGCTGCCATGGAAATTATGGGAAAAACTGATTTACTTGATATTCCGCTGCTTTTGGTGATGTATTTCTTATTGTAAAAGGTTAAGAATTCACACAAAAAAAAAATATTAAAGTATTTACTCACTTTAGCGTTGGGCAACCTCTCTTCAAATGCAATTGGAAGGTGGTTTTCAAGGACGACCGAATAAATTAGTTGATGGTTGTTATTCGTTCTGGGTTGGTGGCTTGTTTCCTTTATTGGAAGCGATAATGACAAGGAATCTTCCCGAGAAAGATGTGGAACAAAGTAACTCCGAAGTTTCGAAGTATATTGGTACATGCTTATTAATCCTCATTGAAAACTTGTTTAAAAATATATTAACAATCTTTTCATTGATTTAATTCAGCTCAATCATTATTTGACAGAGGTAATTTTAATGACGTTTTCAATTTTTTTTTTATTTGTTTTGGCAAGAGCGATAATAACCAGTGATTAAATAATATAGAAGCACTTCAAGAATACATCTTAATCGCTTGTCAAAGTCCTAAGGGCGGATTGATTGACAAGCCAAAGCGTGGTGCAGATCATTATCATACTTGCTATTGTCTTAGTGGACTTTCTACTGCTCAACATCATGTAATTTATGATTTTGAAAGAGCGAAAGGAAAAGATTTAGATTCAGGAGCCAGATCATTACTATGGAAAGATGATGTTACAAATCGAATTGTACTAGGAGATCCAAATAATTTAATTGTAAATATTAAAACTTTATTACATAAATTCTCTGGGTGTTATTTACTAAGTTACTAATGTGTTTATATACTTTGATTCCTGCTAGAATTCCACGCATCCAATTCATAATGTTGCTTTGCCTAATGTCCGGAAAATGATTGAACATTTTTATGGGGAGAGAAACTTTTAAGAATGACCTATTATAATATACCATTTAATTCATTTAATTAATCTTTTTATGTACATTATGTACAATAAATATGTTTTATTAAGAGTTTCATTTAAAGGTGTAAGTTTTTCCCTCAATTTACAATGCTCTATTTAAACCATAATATATATTTTATATATTTATATTATATATATTAGTCATTAAAATTTGATTTAAAAAAAAAACCATTTCAAAACAATATAAATGAAAAAAAATCCACAATTTTTTCTTTCTACATAAATTTCTACATAGTTTTATGCACTAATGATGCTAATTATATTTATATTTCATCATAAAAACCGTTCAAAACATCCTGAAAATAACATTATTATATATATATATATAACTTTTTTTAACATGACTTTAATCAACCTCCTCAACATTTTTATCTTCGGTTTTTTCAGTAGTGGTGGCATCAGCAGTTCCACCGGTACCACTTCCACTAGCAGATGCTGCCGCAGGTACTTCGTCCTCTTTTTTCTGTTCACTAGCGGCTTCAAAATTCTCAACTAATTCAGGAATATCATCATCATCGCCAGTATTTTCGGATTGTACACGTTGAGAATCTAAATTTAATTGTTGATAGGATTCGGCTAATTTACGAAGTGAAGCAAGTGAATCAGGTCCTAATTGATTCAAAATACCCGGTACAAGTTCAGTAAGTTCTTTATCTTCGCCCTGACCGTAGATAGCAAAAGTATTTGCATGAATAGATGCTTGAACTTTTTATCGAAATAATAATAAATAAGAATAAGTGTTCAATCTTTAATTAATAAAGAAAACAATAAATTAGAATATATATACACCTTTTGGAGTAGTAAAATGAATGACATTTCCATCTTCTTTAAACATGTTAACTTCTTCAATTGACGGAATAGATTGAACATTAAGTTTTTTCAGTGTAGTTTGAAGTTTTTTATCATCATTTGTAGCGGTTTTATAAACTTTTTTAACTTTGCGTCTTGGTGTTCCCTTACCACCTATATTAATTAATTAATTAAATTACCGATTGATTTAAAAATTATAAATTAATCGTATTAATTTAACTTACCAATACGAACTTGAGACTGCAATTTTGCAAGTTTTTCCGGATTCATTATTATATATACTATAACAATAAATAAATAAATAAATAAATAATTTCAAGCAAAAAAAGTAAAAAAAAATAACAATAAACTCTAGATTTTGAATACCCTTTAATTTTTTTTAAAAGATAAATGCTCCACTTTTTTTTTTTTTTTTAAAAAAAAAAACCACTTATTGCAACCGATGATGAGAACAACTGATTTATTCTTTTTTTCTTTAAAAAAAAAAAAATAATAATCAAATTAGATGTCACGTGTACATCTATTTTCACGGACCGCAGTATTCGCTCAACACAGTTAAAAAAGATTGCAAAGATTCTAAATTTTTACTACTATGTATTTATTATTAATTTTAAAATTTCTCTATGGTAAGCAACATATATATATTTGCAAATTTAAGCATTAAGATTATTTTATCAATATCAATAAATATGTTAACAAATAAGGAATTATTTCTTAGATTGTATATTTCCTAAAGTAGAAGCAACTTGTGTAGCCTCTTGTATAGTTCTAGCAAGTGTAGAACGTATTTTACCATCTTCCATTGTAAGTAAGCCAGCAATTGTACACCCACCCGGTGTAGTCACACTATCTTTAATTTCGGCTGGATGCTTACCAGTTTTAAGTACCATACGAGCTGCTCCTTGAAGTGCTAAATAATACAAATAGAAAGTTACAAATTGTGCCGTGTAAGATGTAAAACGTTGAAAGGAATAATAAATTACCTTGAGCTGCTAATTCTAATCCAACTTCACGTGGAAGGCCCATCATAACTCCTCCATCTGCAAGTGCTTCAAGTACAACACTTAAAAATAAATTAAATTAGTAAATATACCCGATACTAAAATATTAAAATATTTAAGGATCACTAATAAATGACTAACCATGCAAATGCAGGACCACTTCCCGAAAGACCGGTAACAGCATCTAGATGTTTTTCGTCTAGGATTCTAGCTCTACCCAATGTAGAAAATACCCAAATACTAAATGATCTATCATCTTTACTGCAATCTGTAGGACAACTCAGTACTGTCATACCTTCTCTAATCTGTATAATAGTTTAAGGGGAAGAACGAAAAGAAATTAACAAAGGGTCACATATCATTTACAAAGTAAAATAAAAATAAAATAAAATTAAAATTACCATGCATGGAGTATTTGGCATTGCTCTAATAATACGAGTTGAAGAAGGAGCCCATTCTTTTAATTGATCTATTGTTACCCCAGCTAAAATACTAATTATTAATTTGTTCTCAAGCGATTTTTGCATTCCTTCCTCTGTTAAGATAGTTTTTACAACTTGAGGTTTAGTACTATCCATAAATTTTGCATTAAATTAGTCGAATTATATTTACTGTCAATTCACTTGATAAAAACAATTACCATAATAATATAATATCAGCTTCTTTGACACCTTCAACATTATTTCCAACTAATAATGTAATTTTATCATTAAATTCTTCTTTAATTCTCTGTGCTGACTCCTCTCCTGATACGCAAGCAATAAATTTTTTTGGAATTAAAGTTGGTGGCTCGTTAGCTGGCGCTACATTTAAACTATCTAAAATTCCGGATAAGATAGCTCTACCCATAGTTCCACAGCCAAGAACACATAATGTTGGATTAGTAGGAAGTGACATGATTATTCCAAATAATTTATTTTAAGACGTTGAAATAATGAAAAAAAAAAATTTTCAGATCTATTGCATTGATTTTTAGTTGGTGTAACGATACATAAATTTAATTTATTATATAATTTGAATAGAATCTTGAATAATATATCATATTTAATATTAAAAAATTATTAGATTCTATAATCACACAAATAGTAATTATACAAATGAATCAGTTCATCGTAACGCTAATGAATTTCATGTGATTTTGCAATATTATTTCTTGATCTTGAAGCAGATTTCTAACAAATTTATAATTGCATTTAATTAATTATTATTACTAAGCTCAAATGTAAATAATACATATACACACATACCTTTGAAGGTGAAAGGGCTGATTTTGTAGGAGTTGATAAATGAGTCTTTTTGGTTAAGGTAACTACAAAACATATGTTAAGTATGAATATAATCAAAATGTAAAATAATGACTAAATAATTCACTTACCATCATGCGGTAATGTAACGACGATTGATTTATCTTGTCCAAACCTAAAGTTGTCTGCGACTATATCATCATCGTAACGCTTGATTTGATAATCAAACAATTTCCCTTGTTTCACGCGTCGGAAATTCCAAGCGATAACATATGGTCCAGTACTAATAAGTGACAGCTTATAAATGCCTACATTATATTATTTATATGGAAATCAAGAATTTTTAGAATATATTTTACCTTGTAACAATAGTTTTTTCCATCGCATGTTCTCCGGTATTAAATCTTGCAGGTGTGAAATTGACCTTAAAATTTTTCAAAGTAAATATGAGTAAAAGAACTCATCATGCATTATAGAACAAGCCACACAAGATCGAATGCTTACATCATGTCCCATAATAGTTAAATGTTCTGGCTTCAACTGAAGTGTTTTCGCCTTTGGCTAATACAGAATGAATAAATAATTATATAAAATTTGCATTATTATTTGAATATTGAATTAACAAAATAAAATACCTTTTCGTCTTTCGCAAAGCTTTTTTTAAATCCTGTTCTGCCCTCAGGATCAGATTTAATTTCTGTGTTTATCAGCAGTAAATATTTATCGGTAGTGGCAATCAACCATTTACCATCAGAAGTCACGTCGATTCCTTTAATGGCACTTCCCATGGCAGGCAAATTGGTTTTTGCAATCTTTCCCAGTGAATCAAATAGTTTGATATCACCTTTTTCAGTCCCCACGGCAATATGACCACTCGCGTCAGTAGCTCCACTGATAAAATCATTTTTTGTAACATATTGCCGACGTTTCTCATTTACCAATTTAAAATTTGGCAATCGAGGATCGATGCTATATATCGAATTATATGATAAACCAAGAATTGATTTTTCTCCCGTTGTTTGGGCGAATTTATTTATAGGAAAAATATTCTCAACGGGTATTATGTCGTGAACTTTCCATTCTTCTACTACTTTGCCATATTCTAGGTCCATCTTGAAAAGGCTATGTTCGTCATTTTCATCCATCAGGATCATATTGGAATCTCCTTCATGCAACATCATCTACAACAAAAAGAAGTAATACGTAAATATCTTCATGAATATACAATTTCAAACAATCAATTGAAATATAACCTTAGAAGGATTGAATTTCTTCCCCTGAGGTTTAGAAATATTGTCTATATTGTTAGTGAATTCTATCTTATCATCATCGGTGTGTTTGAATACACCAATTTTATTGCCCTTAAGAATAAAGGATCTGTCAAGCTTTTGCCCAACAGAAAGTTGTGTATTAACATTGTCTCCTTTACTTTCAGTGTTAATAATATCGTTATCGTCGTCTTCATCTGAGGAACCTGTTTCTATTTTGTTTTGAAGTATAGATATAAAAACCGAAAAAAAGAATGATATATTGTAATTATTCATAGTACCTTCTTCCGAGTCCTCTTCATCAGCATCGACCATTTCAACATCTTCATCTAGATAAGCATTCATAAGATATTCTTGTTCTTCTTCCTAATATAAGTAGGACGTCAATGACATTAAATAACATCAATAAATTACGTAGATTTGAAGATATACAAACTTTGGCTTTCGTTTCATTTAAAGTTTCATACATTGCTAAAGTAAATTTTTTTTTGAAGTTGGTTTCGTTATCTAAGTTCTGAAATTTAATTAAAAAGGAATAGACCAGATCCAATCCTACAGAATAATATCCTTAGCGTTTAATTTTATTATATTCTGACATTAATCTGTGTAATATATTGAAACGATAGAAATTTACCATCGAAGTAAACCCATATAAGACAATGTTGTGTCTAAATAAAGAAAAAATGTTAATGTTCAATCCAAACAATGAAACCTTCGATAGCTCCAAAGATGCTTACTGAATTGAACACAGGATTCATTCTTGGCTCTATTTTCTGTGTTACATGCCTTTGATTATCATCCTCGATATTAAGCCAATCTGTGAATAAATTTTATGTGTCAAGAATCATGTATATAAAAAAAAAATTTTTTTCTAACAAAGATGGTAAGGATACATTCGTAATTATTCCCTTTCAATATACTCGCTGTTGCTAGAGGTGATTGCGTTAAGAACGTAGCAGTATTCGGATCGAAAACATGTAATTCAACATCAACATCTATAATTGAAGTCATTTTCGATGAACTACCACCAGGAAGTTCTAATTTGATGCTAGTCTTTGTGGGAGTAGATGGACTTTCTATGTTTCGCGCTTTCATTGGAGTAGTACTAGCAGATGTCGGTGTAGTAAATGATTTATTAAAACTAGACCTATTCTTCGGAGTTGACGGGGGCGATTTATCATTTTGATCTATTTTTAGTTCTGTGCTATAATGGATAAATTAATAATTAATTGGCGATATTTATATTTTGCTATATAAGCTACAAAAATAAATAAAAAATAAAAAAATAAAACCCACTCGAAAATAAAACTTTGAATATCCTGTTCAGTCGCTTCATCTCTAGATTTTCGATATTTACGTTCAAACATACAATTATATACCGTGTATTCAAAAGCATTGACAGTATGCGCGGTAACACTTATGTCACAAACAAATTCGAATAAGTCATCTGGATCCTATTTTATTAGATTGACTTATAGATCAATAGGCATTATATTTATACATAAATATAGTATTAGTATACTGTCATGCTTACGCCGGATAAGTCTCTCCAAGAAAATGTGGTCAATCCTTCAATTTGTCCTTTACGAAACTTCAAAGATTCATCAATAAGGAACACCTTTTCTTCTTCGACTAATCAATCATAAAAGAATTAGTCATTCTTTTCAACTAAAATGAAATATAAAAATGATCACGTACGTTCTTCTTCTTCATCTTGCAACTCTAACTCTTCTTCACCTTCATCAAATACCCTACTGATCACTATATGATACTGCCATTCTGTTCCGGTACGTCGAACAGTAGCTTGAGCGGTATGAAAACTAAGAAATCATTGAATTCATAATATAAATATAAGGATTTATTCCATGATAAACGCGTAACGTAATATCAGACCACGTACATGCACTCTCGGGTTCCCTTTATACTAAAATTTGGTCTAACAAGATAAAGTTCTCCATTTGTTATCTTTATGAGTTCGGGGTTATCAGGGTTTCCTATATAAAATGTTTATTTATTTTATAATTAATGGATCAATGGCTATAACAAACACTAAATTCCCCCATAATTACCCCAAATTAATTTGCCTAAAGATTTTAAGACGTTCATAACACAAAGGTTTTAAAACTTTTTCAAATGAGTAGTAAGCATTAAGTAGTTGAAATTCAACAAAAGAACGGAGGAGAACACGTACTTGAGCATTCAAAAAAATTATGTAAACAATTGATGAAGGTTTCACAAAATTTCACTATAAATATCAATCTACGGCCTTTGGCGTCATGAAATTTTGAATCGGCGTAAGTGAAATCACAACTATGTAAACTCCCTAATTTTTATTTATGGTAGCGCTAATCTACAATTAATGGAAGAAATCAAATAAATTATACCGATTTTACCTAAATCTAAAATGATTGTTGCCCACCTGAAACGTGATAAAAAACTTATTACATTAATAGAAACAATAACTGATAAGACTTCTGCGTCTAAATCTGTTTAACAGTACATTTGGGAATTGGGAATGATGAACTGAGAGAATATATATAAACATAAACCGCTTACAATTTGCAAAACTAAAAAGTAAATTATTTTAACAGGCGAAAAACGATAAACGATTCTATTATTCTATTCGATTAATATTATTTAAATAATTATATTATATTATGTACACAATATGATAGTCACTTATCGATACTTCGATACTTAATGAACATGATTTTGATTAAACATCGTTCTTACGTTCAGTCGTTAAGTCGTTAAACCAGTTACTATGGTAATTCTCATCACGTGTATTTATCATTTATCTTAATGAAAATAGTTTAGGAAAATTGAACGGAAACCTTGACGGTAATTATCTCAATTTATTTACAGCCAATAAGAAATCAATAATGTAGTTTTTTTTTGAAAGCCACTCAAATTGTCTTTTACAATCTATAAAGTAACATTTCTTTACATAATTTTTTAATAACTCATAATTAAAATGCCACAAGGAGGTTTGTATTCACTATATTTACAAATTATTAATTACTACTTTACTTTTACGAACCGAATCCATGAAATAATTCTTTTAAGATCGTGCTGCCTTTTTTTTCGCGTTATAGTCGATCTATATTCCTAAATAACCTCATTAACAACGCTTTTTATTTTACATAATGTAGTAAGAGAAGCTAGACCAAAGCGCAATGCACGTTCTAAGCCTGTTCCTATTCCAAGGCAAACACGTTCTGCTGCACGTAAGGGCAACAAATTAGCCCTTTTGACACCACTTACACTCCCTCTTGAAACTGAGCAAGTAGAAACTCCACAAACTATTACAGATACCACTGCTACAGATTCAAATATGGATATGGACATTGATCAGACTTCTCAAGAAAAACAGCCAACACCGCAACCGAGATTAAGAATACGTTATACTGTTAATCCCGAGCCTTCACAGCCAACGGCTACAGTTATAACTCCGATAAAACGTAAACCAGGTCGACCGCGTAAGCATCCTGAATCTGTTAACAATATTATTAACACACCTACTAGCACAAAACGTAAAAAAAAGGCAGATGATGGTGGTGTCACAAAACGTAGAAAGAAAACGAAAGACGACGCTGATACGAAACGTCGAAAGAAATTAGAAGTGTCGAGCAAGCAAGTTAATGGCGATGCTACATTACGTAATAAGCCAACAGACGAAAATAATGTTGAAATTCAACAAATGATAACGACACAACCAATGGAGGCTGATGAAGCTGAAGGAGGAAACAATAACGATGAAGATGATGGTAAACTTGATGAAAAGGGGGAACAAAAAATTACGAAAGACGGGGAGTTATTAGGTGGTCGTAAATTTAAAGTACAGGTTTTTCAATTACCATCTCGAGGAAACATCTGGTACATGTTATCTATGGATCCTGCAAAACTATTAGGTTTTCGGGACAGTTATTTGTTCTTTTTACGGAACCCAACTTTGAAACGAATACATGCGACAGATCAAGAACGTGATTACCTTATCACGCATGGATTTTTGCCATCAAATTTCAGAAGCAGAGCGATTACACTTGTTTCAGCTAGAGCTACGTACAAACTGTTTGGGTCGAAAATTATTGTAGGGGGGAAAAGAAGGAAAGATGATTATTATGAATCATCAATTAGATTTAATGATGATGATCTGAGTGACAAAGGGGAGGCATCAGGAGCAGATAATGCTAGTAATATTCTTTCAAGACGAGTATATTTGGGTTCAAAACCACGTAAAGTTGTCAATAAGACAAATTGGATGTATCAAACAGCTTTATCGACAAGAGATTATAATACTAGATTAAAGATTCATAGGAAAGAAAAACCAAGATTTTATGATCCTCATACTAATATCGATCAAGTACCTCAGGCAACTCAGCCTACGTGCATACGAGTTGAAGCCTTATCACAGCCGAGAGTATTACCACTATCAAGTGATATTACGATAGCAACAAAGGATCCAGATATTCATTTTGAAACGGTCCCTCACAATCCTTTTGGCACGCTAAATCCAGAAGTTTTGGAGGTTTTACCTCATGAGATCCGACAGATTATTGACAGTATGAAAATGGAGGAGGGGACACGACAAACTCATGAGGAAAAATATCCTATGACATTAATGGATGGCCAATTTCAACATAGGTATCCAATGTAAGTAATTATTTTTTAATTGTAACATGTTTTCCTTTATAAACTAATTTAATACTCTGATTTATAAAATGGATATAGTCACCGTACAAGATTTGGTCAAGATCTTCCCAGAGTTTTAAACCACCCTTCGGCCGTTGCCTCTCACCAAGAAATTGCCCCGCAACCATCATCTGTTATGTCACATGATGCTAATGAGACTCCATATGAACAGCGTTACTATTATACTCCTGATCCGGTACGTCAAGACTTTTCAAGTATATTAATGATAATTTCTCAAACAATTTATATTCTATTTTTTTTTTTTTTTAGACAAGTAATATTATGAATAGGTTTCAGTATACGACTGGAAAAGCACCTCCCCAGTATATTTGTGGTGTATTGACCGCAACAACTGGACAACCTTGCAAACGCGGGGTGTCTTTCGAGGGGGACAGGTGCATGTATCATAAGGGACACCCGCGTGACCCTATAAATGTTGAAGCAACCTCGGATAGAAATACCTTAGAAAGAACTAAACCTGTTGTAATAGGTTCCAGTATAGTCCCGGTAAGAAAATATATTAAATTTGTGAATCAAAATTTATCGTTTTATCATTAATTAGTATATACAATTATTGTTGTAGTTATCAAATGACGTTGCTACATCAAATTACGCGGTTGTTGCACCTACTCCAAATGTAGCTCAACCTTTACCCGTTCTCCCTGAGAATTCTTGCGCGATATGTTTTTCAATTACTGCTCCTGACGCCACCGTACCCCGTACTGGTGCATCATGTTCAAAAGAATATAAGAGCAAATGTGCAAATTGCTTAAGAAAGTATCATCCGCTTTGCATAGGCCTTACAACCCCACGACCTATCATTGCAATGGAAGGATATTCTTGGCTATGTAATGATTGCAAAAGTTGTGTTAAATGTCATTCTTCTGAAGACGAATCAACACTTCTAATCTGCGACGACTGTGACCGTGGCTGGCATCTTGATTGTAGTGATCCCAAAGTTACCGAAGTTCCCCAAGGTAAAGAAATTTATTGGATTTATTTAAGTCACCTTAGTCTTTATCATAACATTTTTTTTTTAATATAGGCCCATGGTTGTGTTCACTTTGTGCCCAATGCAATTCATGCGGAGAAAAAGCTATCTCGCTGAATGATGCTGCTAACAACTATCATCATGCGGAGGCAACATCTGAATCAACAAAATTTCCAATATACTTGGCAACGATATGTAACAAATGCAATTTCAACTTCTCCGAAGATAGGTTCTGTCCAATGTGCTTGAAAACTTATTCCGAAGATGGAGAAGAAAATGAAGATGATAAAGAAATGATTTGCTGTGATGTATGTGATAGGTGGATCCATATAAGGTGTGATGAAGACATCACATCAGAAAAATATCAAGAATTAGTTGAGAATACCGATGCCAATTATAAATGTCCCTTATGCGACGAAAGAATTATGCCAATGGATCAAGGGAATGAAAAACAGAAAGCGGCTTTGACCACCGGTCAACCAAGTGCTGTGCCGGTTGCTATAATCGCTGGTGGTAGGAGGATCCGAGGGATAGCAGAATTTAAGGGGAAGAAAGTGGCTGTCCCCGAAATCCAGGGATGGAACAGTCAAATGTAAATCATAACTTTTTTGCTAATTTGCAGTGTATATAATTTTACATTTTAAAAAAAATTTTTTATTAAATTTAAGATACATTTAAAAACTATGAATCCAAAGAAAATAATTGTCTTAATTGGATTAATAATATGAATAATAAAACCAAATATATTATTAATGTAACGAAATAAACGGTTTAATAATTATAAGATTGATTAAGTTAATCATTTAATAATCATCGACCCACTTCAATTTTAATCTCTTGTACTTGGTCCTTCATTATATGATGAAGTTGATGTGATGAAATTTTTATTTTCAGGTTGTGGCAAACCTGTTAAATAACGCAACATACGTAATCTAGTTCTAGCAGGCGACTAAATAAAATAAAAATGTATGATTTAAGATTTTTTTTTTTCTATCGTAAAATTATTTAATTGATTTACCTCACCACTTGCAATTACATGCATAGCTAATATAGAATTTTGATGTAAAGCATTTACAGCAGTCTGTTTAATTTCTTCTTGTTCACTATCAATCTTTTGTAAACGAGTAGAATTATCATCAGAAATAGGTTGAGATATATTTGGATCTGGCGAAAATGCTGCCGTAACAGGTGAAGTAGGTGAAGTTGGTGAGAATGGTGGCGGGATAGGAGAAGTTATTGATCCATAATTTTGTGATTCTGCCGATTCTGCCATATTATAGAAAAGGAACGTTAAAATATATCTTTCAGGTAACAAAAAAGGGTTCCTCGACCTATACCCTTTTTCTTTTGTGACACATTTGTAGATCTTTAGGGTTCTAACAGATTACGTAAAGTTTTAATACTATATATATAGTACTTATTTTAAAAAATACAAACAATATACATAATGCTAGTCCAGTAATTGTATAATATCCTGGATTAATTCCTTAAATTTCACCAAAAATTACATTAATATAAATATTGATATAGTTTTTTAAATTTCATTTTTTTAAGTTATATGCAATTTACCTTACTTTTCACTCATTAAAAACTTTAAAATTTAATTTTTATTAAGGTAAAGTAAATTAATATTAACAGAAAATCATTATATTTAAAATTATCATAAAATTCTATATTTAATATTTTGATTTTTATAATTATAAATCTTATTAGTATTATATTTAAAATAAAAATTACATATAAAAATAATAATTTAATTAATATCAACAAACTATTAATAAATATCTAACTTTTAAATTGCCAATTGGTTACTATACAAATAATCAAACTTTGAGTTATTAAACCAGTTTCATTATATAAAATCAGATTCCAGTTTCATATATTTTTTAGAATCCTGTATTTAAGTAAAAAATTAAGTAAAGCAATTACAGTCAACTCCCTCTATAGTCACTCCCGTTATAGTCACATTCTACTATATAGTCACACCAGTTGAATGTTCAAAACACTTTATTATTAAAATCTATCCTATAT